AGTCGTGACATAAATTATAAAATAAATTAGTAAATGTAAATCTGTCTCATAATTATAACTCTGTTTTTCAGGAAGAAAAAGTTTATTCTTATTTTCGTAATTTTTATTGCATTTTCTCTATGATAAATAATTAAAATTGATATAAGTGTGAGCTTATTAACCCCTTCTCTATCGGAATTTTTTTTTTCAAATGTTCGGCTTAAAAAAAGTATTTTTTTTTATTGATGAAAATAATATATGTTCCCTCCTAAATTCAAAAATGCAAAATATTTTTGTCAGCATGCAGTATTTTGCTTGATTTATTGGTGGTGAAATACGTTATGTCCCGTCCACTGATCTCTAGTTTTTCCTGCAATGCACCCAAATTTCATCTTTAAAAAATACACCGTGATAACATATTTATTGGTTCTTATGATTTAAGGTGTTAAAGATAAATTTTTGCATTTAATAATCAGTAAAATTAGGTAAAAATATTATGAAAAATAATTTTCCAACCTTACCGTTAAAACAGCTTTATAATCATTCTTGGGCATCAGAGTGTAAAAATCACATTTATCCGAAAACTGAAATATTTTATTGCAGATTGCATGTAACGGTAACACTAATGAAAGCGAAATTACAGAAATTACAAAATGATTTTGATTTCTATTCAAAGCGGGAAATCTCACTGTGAAAGTTGTGAAGAAAATGGGGCTAGTCGCGCCATCTCTTGGCAATATCCTTAAATACAAAAATAATCACGTGATTTAGAAAGACGAGTAAGTAGAGGCGAATTCAATTTCAATGATGGAATTTTTCATTTCGATACTGGCACAAAAACGCCTAACATATGATATGCGACACCGACAGAGAAAAGGTTAAAAACATTTATGCACCAGCGTTTTGTTTTTATAATGTTATAACATCGTAACAATGTTCCTTGTGTTAATATAGAATATAATACGGAATTTATATTAGCAAATTTTTATTAATGGTGTCCGTAAATTATTTTTTGTCACTAAGAATATGTTGTTTAATTATGTTGAAACATTGTTACATAGATTGCTATGAATATATAGATTATACGGAATTTATGATACAAATTTTTATTAATGAGGCAGATAAATTATTTCCATGTATTAAAAAAATATCAGCCATTTTTAGAAAGATCGTACAACATAATAATTAATTTTAATGCCAGTTTATACTAAACTGAAAAATGAAGATTAATTCTTTGTGTATATAACTAGTAAATTACCAAATGCAATAGCTTTTGTTAAAATAGTTTACTCTGACTACAACCTATATGCCATTGTCTTTCTTTGTCGGAAAATACTGAATTATATGGGAGCTGAACTTCCGGCACAAAGATGATATCAATCACTCGAAGCGACGCTTTTAGTTCAGAATGGAGATTGTTAGAGATCCTTATCTTGCTTATCCATGGTGCTTTAATCACATCATTAACGCTATTCGCCTCGTTGATTGTGTGAAATAGTGAATAATTTTAATTGCGCTTTTCGAATGCTTTGCACGGAGAGCTCAGTTTCATTTCTGGAGTTAATGCAATCAATGGGAAAATTACATACATACATTCAACGTAAGAATATTTTCAAACAAAACTTGATAAAATTTACTGTGTTTCTACCTGTATGGGAACAACAAAAAGGTCGGTAATTTTTTTCCGGAATTAATTTTAGTAACATTAAAAAAAAAAATTCGGTTTTATAATGTTTGATAAAATTTGATAATTTTTTCATGATACCTTAGAGCATGGCATAAAAATCATTTATTCGGTGAAATTTATTTTTCAGTTCTGCATTTTTTACTAAATGTGTGATAACTATAATTTTGAATTATAACTTTGAAAACCAGATTTTCGGGTAAACCGTTACCATAAGAGCAGAAAAATTACAATATATTTGATTACCATAAATTTTGCCAGAATTATTTGGTTTTTATTAGAAATATCATGATTATATCGTACAGTAATTTTACTCATATGCATTTACTTATATATTCATAGGATTAAGTATCTGTTTTAAAATGTGTGTTGAATAATTTTATGTGTTTTTAAGTGATCATTTGGTACTTCCTATTTAGTAGTATTTTTAAATTGCTGGTGAGCTTTTGCGTGAATTATATGCATGTTCACGGAAATTTAAACAAATTAATTAAAAAAGTATGAATTTTATCATTTTTTTAGTTATATTAATAAGTAAATATTTAGCTTCAAAATGTTGCTTTTCCATTTCTAAATCAACTATTTTAAATGCAGGTCTTCTTATCAATACGTTGTTGGAATTTTTAAAGCATTTTAAAATGTAATTTTGTTCAAAAATGCAGAAACGTTAATATTATTTTCAATTGAGTCATAGTATTGTACTTCATAGCAAAACTTAATTAAAAAGTTCTGTGTTTCAACTTAACGGGGAAAAAAGGTTCATTTTAAGTCCGTATTATTATTGCAAAAAATTTGCACTACATTATATTCAGTGTTAAACAGATTTTTTAAAGAATGTATTCCATAACTTCACAAAACTTAAGGCTCAAACTAAGGTCAAAAGTCCAGGCACCCTCAGTGTAGCATCCGTAAAATCAATTTTACCATAAAATTCATTTTTCCATAAAATTTCATATTGTACTTTTTACAGTACCATTTATATAAATACAGCTATTCATGAGGTTTTATAGAAAGTATTACTATAAAAAATATAGTGTATTAGATTTTTTTTTCAGCTAACTTAACGGTAAAAATGGATACTACAGTAAATTAAAGTGACACTCTGATTGCCGGTACTGTTTACCGGAATTTGATCCGGAGTTTTTTCAGTGTATTTGGAAATAAATATTTCGAAGAAATTACGTATAAGTAAAATTTTAAACAAATAATTATGGTTTTTCTGTTTAAAATCTCGTAAATTAGCTTTTAATATTTCATTGCACTACGCAATTAGAATTAAGCTCGTAAGGAATCGTCTTTTATTTCCCTTTTGTTCAATAAAAATATCTTAGAGCAATACAAGTTTATGTATATAGGACCTAAAACTGTTAGATCACCAATTCCTTTAATTTAAAATTGTACATGAAGGAAACTCCCTAATACATATAAATTAAATCATAATGTATATAAAGTGAAATAAATATAAGTAGTGTACCTTTTCGGGTGGCAAAGTTAGCAAGGATGTGGAACCCCTTAGTTATGAGTATATTTAACTCATATGGCAGTTTCATACTACTCCTGGGGGCCGCGATAACCTGGTTGGTTAGGCGCTAGCTTCACGTCCGTGAGAACGGGAATTCGAATCAAACCAGCCAATGACTCCCCGTGTAGCAAATGGTGAAACTGGTGCACGTTAAAGCTGTATGGTCACAAAGTTCACCATGTTCCCACAACAAATTATACCTCTGGGGGTACTGAATTGGGGATTTATAGTTCTCTGGTTCAGGTCAAAATTACGATCTGTGGATGAATGAATGGATATATGAATGAGTCCATCCTATAAACTGGTTTTACGTAAGGGTGCGACAGAATTCAAATTCTTGGTCATAGATGGCGCCACTGGAAAACAAGAATAATCGCACACATTGCCTTAATGATCTGCGATAACAACAACATACTATTCTTAGGTTAATAATATGTTTAATGATGGTAGCGCAAATTTGCGCAATATGTATGGAAACCTTAAATGTTTTTTTATGGTTTTATTTACAGTCATTGACTATGGGAAATCTAAAATTTGTCTTTATTTATTAATTCAATGCCCATATCATCCGGATGTATTAAAATAACTTGTTGCAAAGACTTTAGTTTAATGATTTTGCATGACTGCTGACTTCAAACTATCTAATTACTAAAGTTCGACTTCCTTCAAATCTGTCTTAGTTACGCTCGAGACGCAACTAAGTACTACATTAATAACAAGACTAAAGGACCTGCAGCAAATATCAGCACTATATGGCTAAATATTCTGCATTTGAAACCCTAGTTTCTTTCTGTCTGTTAGTTAAAATAGGATTTTGACGGTATTGATCTTGTTCTTATGTATTTTCCTTAATACACGAATAGTAAGATTATTTATATCTTCCAAGTAAAGAATGCTAAGATTAAGAACTCGTTGTATACTAGTTGCGACTTGGCTTCATAGTATTACATAAATGCTAATTTTATAGTTTTGTGGGTTTTTGTTTCAAAATTTCATACCTGCATTTGAGACATCCAGTTTGTGAAATGAAAAAGAACTAAGAATTCAATAAAACAAGAATTAATTTCATATCGCTTAGAACATTTGTTTCAGTATCTCATACCTGCATTTGAGACACTGAAATGTCCAGTTTGTAAAACGAAGAAGAACTAGTAATTCGATAAAACAAAAATTAATTGCATATCGCTTAGTACTTTTGTTTCAGAATCTCATACCTGCATTTGAGACACTTAAATATCCAGTTTGTAAAATGAAAAAGAGCTAAGAATTCGATAAAACAGAAATTATTTACATATCATTTAGTAATTTTGTTTCAGAATCTCATACCTGCATTTGAAACACTGAAATATCCAGTTTGTAAAATGAAAAAGAACTAAGAATTCGATAAAACAAGAATTAATTGCATAGCGTTAAGTGCTTTTGTTTCAGAATCTCATACCTGCATTTGAGACATTAAAATATCCAGTTTGTAAAATGAAAAAGAACTAAGAATTTAATAAAACAAGAATTAATTGCATATCGTTTAGTACTTTCAGAATATCATACCTGCGTTTGAGACACTGAAACATCCAGTTTGTAAAATGAGAAAGAACTAAGAATTCGATAAAACAAGAAGGAATTAATTGCATATCGTTTAGTACTTTTGCTTCAGAATCTCATACCTGCATTTGAGAAGCTGGAACATCCAGTTTGTGAAGTGAAAAAAAAACTAAGAATTCTTTAAAACAAGAATTAATTGCATATCGTTAGTTTCAGTACCTCTTTCATGCATTGTTTTGAGGCACCCTGGATGACTGAAATGTTGTTTTGTTGCAGGTGTTGTCCCTAGGAGCTGACGTCTTACCCGAGTACAAATTACAGAAACCCACAGTCCACAAATGGACCATTCTGCACTATTCGCCCTTCAAGGCAGTGTGGGACTGGATCATCCTGCTGCTGGTCATGTACACAGCCATATTCACGCCTTACGTGGCTGCTTTCCTCCTGAGCGAGGAGAAGGACAAGCGCAACAAGAAGTACGGCGACGATCCCATAGTGGTGATCGACCTGCTAGTCGACGTCATGTTTATCATCGACATCCTCATCAACTTCCGAACCACGTACGTCAACTCCAATGACGAGGTGATCAGCCACCCCGGCAGAATTGCCGTCCATTACCTCCGGGGATGGTTCATCATCGACGTCGTCGCAGCCATACCCTTCGACCTACTCTTCCTAGGATCAGAAACAGACGAGGTGATACTCCTTCTTTCCATCTCACTAAAAACAAAAATAAAAACACAAAATTTTAATTTTTTTTTTCTATCTGCGTAGAAAATTGTCAGTCTTAAAATTAGCAATGAATCTTTTTTACAAAATTAAATTAGTTTAAAAAAATTTTAACTATAATTATTATTATTCATTTTTTTAGAATATTAAGGAAATAATTTTAAAATGTTACAAATAATACTGGAATAAAAACTTCATTCCCTTCAACAATATACAAATACCAAAAATATTTCTACCTTAGTTACATCAACTCATGTCGATTGCCTAGAATCTTATTTTATTCATATGTATGCTGAGTTCCCTGTTAACGACATTAGTTAATGCCAAAATTATTTCCACCCCTATTACATCAGCTTATCTTGGAGAGGAATCTTATTTTATTCATATGAATGCTGAATTCCTTGGTAACTAGTACCTCACCATCACTCCATAGCGCGTGGAAAAGCATTTTACTTTGATTTGTCCTTTTCGGCCACTCTGTTTTTTTTTTGTTCTATTTTTCCTTTTTTTTTATCTCTCTCGGCTGCTCAGGTTTTTTTTCTAGTTTTGTTGTTCCTTTTTTCGTTGTCAATTTAACATTTTTGTTTTAAATCACTTCTATTTCTTTTCATTGCTGTCTGGAAGGTCTTGACAATAGGTACCTTGAAATATGTCGACTGTTATTTCTAATTTGTATATTTTAAAGGAGAATGAAGTTTTGAATAAAATAATATCCTACTTCTTCACTTTCTTAGGATTATTTATTTTTGTTAGAAATATTTTTTTTTAAATACAATAAGAAGGCAAAAAAAAATTACAGACATTCTTAGCATTTTACTTTAGTTTAGCCTATAAATAAAACAGTAAATTGGTTAAGTTATATTTTTTTAGATATTTGCAGAACTTTCGGGATGCATACATTAAAACCTAGAGACAAGTACAAGTTAAATGCACAAATGAAACACTGTTTGAGTTCAATTGAAGGACTGAATACAATAAAAGATACCGTTTTTTCACATCTTTTGTTAGAAAAATAGGTTTAACTTTAAGCCTTACTGCCAAGAAGTTTTCTGCAACCTTCATAACCTAATAAATTAAACCATATTTCCGTTCTATTCGTATCACGTGATCAAGTATATAAAGTACGATGTTGGTGTTGTTTCGAATGACACTTGGACAAGACAAGCTCACCAGCCTTTGGCCTACTGCGAATTAAGTCAAGTAGGTGCGCCTTTCCTTTTAAAAGAGAGCACCACAAGTGTAAAAAAACGTTTTAGCTCTGTATCCCCCAGATAGATGGCAGCTCCACTCATTCGTGAAGGCGTTTTCTCAATTTAATCCTAAATCTGAAGGGGAAGGAAATTTTCTTCAAATCCCTGTACCCATGGTATCCCTGCCCCCTCAACGACAGACCACAGGACATTTGCTTCCAAAGATTTTAAGAGCACATATATCGCATGTACTCGGTAGATCTCAGCAGAGTCAAGGATTGAACCCCAGCCCCTCAGGATTATAATACAGTTTAACTTTGTACCATATGAAGGTTACAGTAAATTTGAATGGTATTATGGTTTAACACGCTCCAAAATTACTAATAGTGAATTTACTTTTTAGAAACAACTATTGCTTAATTATTATTCGTACAAATATATAAACATTAATGGTATTAAAAAAAGAAACTTAGATTTTAAAAAAATAGTTTTAATAATTTTTTTTTAGAAAAAATAAAACTCAACTAAATTTTTCTCTACTTTTTATTTTTAAAAAAAATGGTGAATAACATTTAAATATTATTTTTTATTTCTATTTTTTATTTACTGCATAACAATTCAATTTTTGTTTGCTTCATAAGAATTCGTTTATATTATATCACATATATTTTTTTCCTGATCTCGAATTGTTTCTAAAGGTTGCTTATAAGTTGCTTAATATTTTTATTAATGATATATTTTGATATATGTTGCATAATATGAATATAGTATCACTTTTAAAATTTGCTTACAACTCACTAGTTTCACTCTAGTTACACTGCATTAGAAGAACATATAATTCTTGTTAAGTCGAACCATTTCCCCAAGTGGTAGGCGGGGTAATGATTTGATTGGCGTGTCTCATATGTCCTTCTAATTATTATGCATGTAAATTTTATTCTTAAAATACCTGACCCCCGTAGAAGCTTTATTATACTCTTTAGATTAAAATGCAAAAATTTTAAATTTTACTTCATTTTTTGAACTCCTCGTATCTGCTTCCGCTGCTACACACACCACGTGATTGCCTCTTTTGTTTCTCTTTTATTTTAACATTTTCGAGTTGCATGATCACTGATGAATTTGCTTTGTGATTCATTACTTGCTTTAATGAAATGATTATTGATGTGCTTTAATGAAAATTTATATTTAATTTGTGTTTGTTAATAAGAGTTATAGCATTTATAATATATGAAGTGAAAATCGAATATTAAAAATAAATCATTAAAAAAAATTTCAATTATCAACATTAATAAAGTTTTTTCGACAGTATAGAATAAAAATTGCAGACAAAAATTATTTCATATAAAATGTTCAATTATTGATATTATTAAATGATTGAAAAGCTTTGTGAAAGAAAACAATTAAACCTTTTTATTTTGTTTTGTTTTAAATACATTTAAAACAATTATACTTGTGCTTATCTACTTAAAACTGAGTGAATGGTATTAAACTTCATAAAACTGATAAAGAGATATATATTTTTGAACATTTTGATTCTAAATTGTGCAAATTTATACTTTAAATAGGAAATTATATACTAAAAATTTAAACGTAAACATACAAAAATATTAAATATTTGATAAAATTTAACATTATGTTTAGTGCCATATTGCTTTCAGCATAACTAAATAAATTTACAACTACTCCATATTTACCCTTAACTCTAGAAGAATTAGTCAGAAAGGAATAACAATAACAGTATATTGATATTAAAAGCTGTAAAAACTTTTGAAAAAATCAATTACAAACGCTTCTGATAGATCAAATTAGTTACAACATTTGCCATCAGATAAAATTATTCGTAAAAGTTGTCAACACTTCAAATTAATTACAAAAGTTGGTCTACTTACACAATTTTTGAATCCTTTATGTTGATTGTTGTTTAATTAAGATGGCATTTTTTTAAATTCAACTCGAAGATTTTGGAGCATTTTCTTCCAATGTCCACCCGGATATTGACATTCGTCATTACCAGGACATTCGTCCTTATCAGAAGGGCAGATTTGTTGACCACTCTTTCAAGGGCACCATATTAGATGGGTCAACGCTGCTCCTGCAGTAACAAGAACAGATAGTACAGAAAAGAGGGGGAAAGAACATTTAAGCTTTGTCCGGGATTCAAACCCGGGACCTTTCTGACAATAGGATAGCTCCCTGATCACCATACAGCTTGTCAGCTTAGAGCTACTTTAGTTCACAACTTTTGTAAATCAATTCAAAAATAGATTATGAATAGAATTCTATCAGTTTTCAGAATTATTAATATGCAGTTTGCTTTCGTACTTTTATAGCTAATTATTTCAAAATCTCTTAATTTTTACACCTAGTACTCTTTTTTGGAGAAATTTGCCCTTTATACAGTTTTAAAGTAAATTTTCGAAAATCTTAAAATACTTTTAAATGTTGCACATAGATTTCACGAAAAATTTTATCTGTGGCTATGAAAAACACATGTCCATCTAATTACAGACAAATATAGATCATTTTTAAACAACGGAAAAATGTAATTTCCCTATTGGTCTGTTAATAGTTATTTTAAGTAATTAATAAGCATATATTAAAGAATAATTCAATAATTAAACTTGGCATTTTTTTTTCAAAAATATTTCAAATCGATAATTTAATTAAAAAATCTGCTATTAAAATTCAATCACTAATTTTATTTTAAAATAAACTTACTTTTTTTCCAAAAATTATAGTCAGTACAAATTTGACGTTGAAATAAATATCGATATTTTTAAAAAGTTTAATCTTTTTAAAAATTATTATTATATTATCATCATCCTTATTAATTCATAAAGCATAATAATTTAAAAAATCGCATTTCTAATGACAAGAAACATTCATTAAATTTATGGTATACGTAAAAGATAAACGTTTTATAAAATGTTCAATACATACAATAATTGTTTACTGTTTATTGGATGTTAAAGCTTTGCTTTTGCTAAAATATTTTCAGTGGCTCAGAATTTTAAATTAAATAAACATTTCTAATTGATAATATTATTGACTTATGGAAATGCTGTTGATGTTTTATGGCTATTTTATTTAAAATTAATTGGCTATTTTATTTACCTTGCTTTGCTATTGTTGGTGTTCATAAATTTATATTTTAGACAAACATTAAGAGCATCTGATCTGAAATTTGAAGGAAAAATTAAAACAACAAAATGAAACGTATGCAAAATAATCACTTAATTTTTACGTATTTGTTTTTGGCCATTTAGCTCACTGCTTAAATTTTTTATGTGAAACATCTGAATCCTTCAAATAAGTGTTGTTAAATAATTATAAAATTCATTTCGTAAAATTTGAAAAGTGTCATCATAAATTATTTCCTTTTTTATTTTTTAAACCAATATTTTTGTTGTTAAAATACTAAAATGGTACTAAATATGAGAAAAGAAGAAAGGAAAATTTTTGTCTGAACACAAGACTATAAAACATTTTTGTTTATTTCTGCTTTTATGAACGATAATTAGATTGAAAGCCAGGCATACTTAACTTTTTTTCATTGTACTGATAATAAATTAGCCAAATTTGGTTTTTGGAACTTAATTTTAAAATATCTAAAATTTAAATAAAACAAAAATTTGACCCAATTATAGCATAAGTAATAATAATTATTTCTCATTTTGTGAGACAAATATTTTTCTTAGTAGCCATTATGATGAGAAAGAATTATTTTTAAACAAAATGAAATGTAAAAAGATTAGAAAAATGAATTCTTAAGATAATTCAATATTGAAATCGGAATCCATTTTATTTATAGAAATTTATCTGTCACCAGCGTTTTAAAAGTTTGAAATAAAATTTGAAATTGTTAGTCTTTATCTCTGTTTTTAAAGTGCAACCAGTAACGCATCACTTATTGCAACAAATTCATATTGTGAAACAAAAGCAATGAATTGCTTGAGAAAAAATATTACTTACTTTGTTAAGTTTCAATTTCTTTGTTTCTTTGCTTTCTTTGTTGAGTTCCAACATCGTTTTAAATTGAATATGCTCAAAAAGAAAGTTTTTTTAAAAAAAATTCAACATTTCAAATAGATTTATTTCTATTGCCAAGTTTTTTTAATAATTACTTCTTAGAGATAGAAAGCAAAATTTAGATAATGCAAATGTTAGAAGAGGAAAAAAACGTCAAAAAAAGCTTAATTACCATCAAAAAAATGACACAAGTGTTCTCAAAAAAATAATTGTTATTGAAAAAGGATATTCAAAATGACATGAGTGTTTATCAAAAATCAATCTCTAAAACGACATAAATTAAAACAAAAAAAGCTGTCAAAAATGTCAAAAATATTATCAAGCATAAGAAATAAGACATACATTTCATTATAAAAAAAACGTTGTCTAAAAAAGCCTAAATACTATCAAAAAATGACAGGATTTCTCAAAAAATATAATTGTTATTGAAAAAGGATGTTTAAAATGACTCGAGTGCTATCAAATAATACTCTCTAAAATAATATAAATTATGACAAAGAAGCTGTCAGAAATGACATAAATATTATCAAGCATAAGAAAATTGTGATACATTTGATTTAAAATAAAACCTCCAAACTTTTCGATGCATGTTGCATGTCTCAAATCCTTCTTCACTCCTACTTTGAATCTATCTATTGCATATAGTGACTATCTTGCATGTTCTCCTGTCTATCTCATTGATGTTCGTGCGTTGCGATGTTGTACTAGAGGCTCGTGGCCAAGTGGCGTGGAGGCCGTCACGATGAGCAAGTCGCAGTGTCGTCCCTTACCCTAGAGTCAGTGGATCCTACCTACAACAGTGCGTCCTGAACCAAACGCATTCATTTATTGCAGTGTGACCCAAATAACAGTTAAAATTTAACAGTGATCTACAATATAACATTATTGCTCTTCTTCATGATGTTCTTAAAATCAAAATAGTTTTAAATTTAAAATGGTGGGCAGAATATTTTCAAATTACTATTATTTATTTGATAATTTGTATGATTTAGATAATAATTGTGAATAATGCAATTCAAATGGAAGCAGTGTTTTTAAATATCGGGTTTGAATTTTTTGGAATATTACAAATATTTTTAGATCTCTAAGCACCATTTTAATTTAAGGCTATTTGAAAGGTGTATAATTTACTGAACTTCGAGGCTCTGTTCTTTGATAAGTATCTTCAAACCTAATATTGAAAATATGTAACAGTAAATAATTTATGTACAGTAGTAAATTATGTTAAGTAGGCAAAAGTAACGAAACATCCAGATTTTTCATCTCACAATCGGATTTATATGAACTAAGATGCAATCTTAATGGGGTAGATCTTTATGATAATTTAAGTCGTACTTTTTTAATAACCATACTTTCTTTGCCCAATTTGAATTTTTGATCGTCAAAATAAAGAGAGTAATAGTAGTCTGGAAAATATGATCCTAATAGTCAAGTTAAGAAGACAGTCGTGAGTCTAAGTAACTTATATAATATCCCAATTTACATATTTCTCTTACAAGATAATTTTACACACAAATGATACAACACAAAAATAATTTCTTTCTTAATTAAGCATTATTTTATATTACTTAATTTAATAATAGTTGAAAGCTTTTGGGTTTTAAAGAATACAAGTTTTTTAACTTCATTTTAAGTAATAAAATCATATTTTAAACGAAATCATTCATTGAAAATTTAAGAATACGTCTTTTTTTTAAATATGTTTCTCAAAAACCACTTGATGTATTGGGGAAGGTAATTGCGTACTTTACATCGCAAACAATATCATCGAACTTCTATGAATTTCATAAAAGCATTAAACGCTCTAAGGAAACCAGTTATGGTTAATTATTATAGTATATCCATCTATAAATTAGGCTAAAAGGCGGAGTTTTCATTGTTTCACTCTCGTGTAACAATGTTCAGTTCATGTTCACATTGAACGTATATTCATGTGAAATTATCAACTTCGGGGGTAATTAGCTTTTGGAGTTTTTTTATTGTTTCATTTTTGCGAAATGGACATTAAACTTAAATTTATTACAAACTAATCTATACAGGAGGGGCAACTAGCACCAAAGTTTTGTACTTTTATGAATTGAATTTTTTGTTAACTTATTTTAGTTGAAATTTTAATTAATTTAAAGTTTAAATTTTTTAGAGTTTCATTTTTGCTTAATTTAAAGTTTAAATTTTTTAGAGTTTCATTTTTGCTTAATTAACATTAAACTTCACATAAAAATCGTTCGGTTGCTATTCAAGCTAATTGATTGCGAATTTCAAAGATGCGGTTAAAAACATTTTAAAATTTCAAATTCACTGTGAGAACTAGTAATTTAATGTAAACGGTTAAATAGATTTATTTTTATACAATAACTTCGAAATGAAACATTCTTATTACTTTCATAAATGTAATTTTTAGTTAACTTATTTTAGTTGAAATTTTAATTAATTTGAAGTTTAATTTTTTAGTGTTTCACTCTTATTTAATTAACATTGAACTTCACATCAAAATCGTTCGGTTGCTATTCAATCTTATTTTAATTGATTTCAAATTTCAAAAATACGGTTAAAAACATTTTAAAATTTTAAATTTACTGTGAGAACCAGTAATTTAATGTAAACGGTTAAATAGATTTATTTTTATGCAATAGTATCGAAATGAAACATTCTTATTTAAAATTGACATTACGGATGAATCTTTTTCTGGTAATCACTGAATGTTCTTTTTCATGTTTGATATTTTCAATAATTGGTTCCTTAAATATTTTTTTTCAAACTATCTCAAAAGCTATTTTGTTTCAACTTTCTATCTTATGCTCCGCAAAAAATAACTTATTTTTAGAAATGAAAGCTTTATTCATCATAAATTTTCCCGTTTTATGAGTCATAAACTTTCTATTTCTTGTTTATTAAAGCAGTTTGAGATATTAATATCAAATATTATGAAAGCATAAAACATAAAGCAATTGCTTTTATGTCTTTTCATAAATGAACTACTTTCGTGTCAGCTTAAAGGCGTATTGTAAACAACGGAAAAATTAAAGTTCTTAAAACAAAACTGCAACTTTCTTAAGACCATTTAGGTTTAAGTTAGAAAAAAAAAATTCTCTAAATTGATCTGTATAAAACAGTCCAGATTTCAATGCCTGAAATTTGTATTTCTTAAGATAAAAATAAATGTTTTTTTTTAAAAAAGACGTAATGTTTTTACTACCAGTTTTATTATAAAGTACATTTTTCTTATAAAGTACATTTTTCTTATAAATTTCCTTATTTTCGAAATATTGAGGACTTCATAGGACTATTTTAACCCTCCCCCATTTGTGTTTAAGCTCATACAGAGAACAACAGACATTACAAAAAACAATTTTAACTTGAAGTTTGACATTATGCAACTTAATGAGAAATACACTGAATTATTTTAGTTTTCAGTTAGTCTAAGACAAATATTATAACAAATGTAGGCCATAATCAGGTTTAATATCTTGACATAAGGTGCTGATGTATAACAGAGAATCAAAAATTATTTAAATTACATTTTTAAACCGTCTAAGAAGTACTATCGAGATGAATTTGTTGCATTGTTTGAAACTTAGATGCGACTCGTTTTTGTACCAATTTTCTTGAATATCAATTCCTAATCTGTCACTGTACAACGTATTATCTTTATATCCTTATCCACCATTGTTAAACACCAGTGTGATTTTAATCACTGAAAATTTTTGCAGCAAGATATAAGCTTCAAGAATTAATTATAATAAATGTCATTAATTATATAAATTATTAATAATATAAATTATTAATAATATAAATTATTAATAATATTAAATCAAAATCTGTAACTGTACAACGTATTATCTATATATCCTTATCCCCCTCTGAAAAACACCTCTGTGATCTCAATCACTGAAAATTATTGCAGCAAAATATAAGCATTTGGAATTAATTATAATAAATCATTAATTAAAATAATTCCTTAATTAAAATAAATCGTTACTTAAATAAATAATAAATCATTAATAATATTAAATCGAAATCTATAACTTTACACAGCGCATTATCTATATATCCTTATCCACCACTGACAAGCACCTACTTGATCTTAATTACTGAAAATTGCTGTATCAAAATACAAGCTAAGCATAATTATAATAAATTGAATTAAACTATTTGAAAGTATTGAGTGAAGAAAAGGTGGTGTTACACATGTGGCACAGAAAAAAAAACCGTCACTTAAAAAAAAAACCATCTTTATTTTATGTTTCGAATTAAAAATTTAAAATTCAATTTATGAGTGGAGCCTCGGGGTTGAAAGGATGAGGTTTAAATGGTCCTAGTAAATGACCTAATCTTCTATGACCTTCCCACAGACAACAACGTTGATCGGTCTCTTGAAGACCGCTCGACTCCTGCGACTGGTGAGGGTCGCCCGAAAAATCGACCGCTACTCGGAGTATGGGGCCGCGGTGCTCTTGCTCCTCGTGGCTGCTTTCGCGCTCATTGCTCATTGGTTGGCTTGCATCTGGTACGCAATCGGCAACGCCGAACGACCTTTCCTAGCCCATAAGATTGGGTGGCTGGATGCCCTGGCGAGAGACACAGAACAGCACTACAACAATAGCCATGGAGGGCCTTCCATCAAATCCAAGTATGTGACAGCCCTCTACTTCACATTCACCAGCCTCACCTCAGTGGGATTTGGAAACGTGGCACCCAATACCAACATGGAGAAAGTGTTTGCAATCATCGTTATGCTCGTGGGATGTAAGTATATTACTTCTTCTCTCTGTTGTGAAACAATAGATTAAATAGATTTCAACTTTTTCAGCAATTAAAACTGTCTAAAGTCAAAAGGATAGGATTTAACTTCGGTCTCAAGTTGCGCCAGTCCAGCTTGTCCAGTCCTAAGTTGCTTGCTCAAAAAAAAATAAAAGTGTTCTTGAGATATATATGAAATTGACTTTTAGTCGTAAATGAGATTGAAATTGAAGTACATTGATATTTTTGGGGCAAAACATAACCATGTTTTTTTTAAATCCTGTGTTTTTACACCTGTCAAACATTCACCTTCTGGTGAACTTGTCAGATATCAACCTCTGGTGTGTTTTCACACCTTAAGTTTTTTTTTTACCATCAAAGGCGGTTTATTCCAGACTTTAGAGGTTATAAATGAACAACTTTGCATATATTTTTATGCCTTAAAAACAAACTTTTTAAGTGTGTTATAAAACACCTCTGTTAGGATTTTTATCGACATTAAAATAAGCTTAAGTACAAATAAGAAAAAAAATTACACCTCATAAACACCTAAATAGTCTAAGTTGAACTTATATGAAATTATTTATACCTCAAACATATTTAGTTACTTGAAGTGTAGAAAAAATAACCTCAAAAATTGTCTGGTTGCTCTAAGGTAGATTTCTTAACAATCTAGAATATGAATAAAACAACTTCATACACCTTGATTATAAATCTTGACAGGTTGATTTTTTTAAGTTTGTTTTGTAAGTCAACTTCAAATATACCTCAAATCAGCCTGAACACAACCACAAATAAATCCCGAAAACACCTTAAACTATTGCTAAACGTTCCATGTCTAAATTTAAGAAGTTTTTGGAGTTTTATAGAGATTACGATGTTGTGCAGTGTGATACTAAATCAAGATGGGAGAGTTGACAACACGACACATTTATTAAACCTAAAGTATGACACAATAAAACCGCATTACAACCTGCATAAAATTGCATACATTAAAAAACGTATTTCTTGATTTATGCATAGATAAAACATCTTTATATATTACAGTTATATAAAAGTAAGAAACAGTCTCACGCTCAAATAAACAGCGCCATCGAAGCTAATCAGCAAATGCTTATGAGATCCTACAATTCTTGTTTCTGGAAATTTTGGTGTTCAATCAAATTAAAGATTAATTTTTACGCAAGCATGGTTCAACTTGGCTCCTCACTAAGGTTCCAGCGTATTTGAATGTTATGGTTCAAAACAATTCAAAATTGCTTAACAGCAGAATGGCGTGAACATTATTTGACGTTGCACAGCCTTTTATGTGCCACATGCCATCGAACTCAACAATCATTATAAAGGTTGTGATCTTATACCTCGTGTGTCATAAAACTGTTAAATATAATTAGTATATCGAATATTTTACTGACATTTTTTTTTAAAAATGTACTTTAAAAATATCCCTTCGACGTTCCAACTTATATTCAGTAAAACGTGAAGTAATTGAAATATTTTTGTTGCTTGTACAGGGCACTAAAGACTCGGATTTGCACATACTAGGACTCAATCTTAAGAGGAGGGGGTGATCTAAGCTAAATAGTTAGTGCAGGCAATGTCTTAAGTTACCAAATTATGCATAAAAACGCACTCTGAATACCTTTTTTTCGACGAATTTTTTCTGACCCCCAAAATATGAGGGTACCTGCAGTCTGGGAAATATAATCCTAATAGTTCAACCAAGAGATAGGTTAAAAGTTTTCATTCCCTAATGTTAATTTTATTTCTTTCATAGTTTGCTATATCTCGAGAACTTTTTAAACGAAATTTTAAAAAAAAATCCCATAATTACAAAAATTAAATAATTTCATAAAAAAAAAATTTCATACAAAAAAATCAAGCATAATTATTCGTTATTTCATTTAATAATAGTCGAAGCGTTATTATTTACAAGGTATAGAAAGTTTCGCATCATTTCAAAGAATGTAATTTTGTATCGAAAAATGCAACATGTCATAGCCGAGCGGGCTTATCTGTCAATCTTATGACCATCAGAACTGGAGTTCGAGTCCTAGTGTTGACACTACAATATTTTCTCTATTCCGTTCAACACGTGAAGAATTCCGAATGTCCGGCACTCTCCAATGACCATTAACTACAAAAAGCCGAGCTTCTGCATCTAGTTAAAAAAAAAATATGAAATTTTTAAAAAATGCTAGTTGTAAATGGTTAAAAAAACTTGCATTCATGGTTTTATGACGATATTTTTGTAAATGTTTGTTTTGTAAAATTAATACCATAAAGGAAGAAAATTTTCTTTTCCGTTAACTTTACAGTTAATCGGATGGACAGACAGCTGACAGTTATATTACCGTAATTTTAGAAGGAAAATTTTAACAGTGTGGGTCCTAGTACGTGAAAATTCGATCTTTAAAATAAAAGATATTCAGGGAGATATTTTTCTGCGCATGGTTCATGGTTCGGTAGCAAATATTTTAACGCATTTTTTGTGTATTCACTAGAACAATATTGAAGCGATAGTTTAAATCTAATTAGGAACACTTTAAAATGTGTGACGGTGATACCCAATTGTGACAGAGAAAAATTTCTGCATGCTTTCAGCTCTTACCAACACACAGTTTGCAAAAAATATTGAAACAAAATTGCTTTATCGCTATCAACTAATTAACACTATAATATATAAATACAAAATATATAAAATAAATGTTGTTTGTATTTTAATGATGATTGCTAACTAACAAAGAAGATTGTTTCAAACATTTAACATTTAATCAAAAGCATATCTTCCAATAACTTAATTTGATATATCTCTCTTTATCGATTTATTAAACAAGTCCGGTTAATAAATCGTACTTTTAATCAAATTACAAGCTGTTTCTCTTTTGTCGTTTAAAATTTGCTAGTTGTGGTTAAATAGTTTCCGTTGAATGAAAACTACTTTATAAAAAATGGCAATTAGTCTTTTTTTATTTCTTATTTTCTAAAGATAAAGTATGATTGATGATCTGTAGTTTCCTCTATCGGGAGTTTTAGAGCGATGGTTTTTTGCTTATTATTAATATTTTTTCTAATATCCATTTTTTAGAATGATAAATGTAATCAAAAAAATTTATTAACTAACAGAAAGGAAATATTGGACTCGATCAAAACTAGAACTATTGATGAAAATAAAAATTTTAACTAGATGATATATTTTAGTTATCTTTTATTAAACTGTCTCAAGTGTGGTAACCTAAATGTGTTTATAAGAAGCTAAAAGATACTTCCTTGCTAAGAAATAAGTATTTGAAAATTAATATATATGTCCCGTTTCGTGATTCATTTACTATTTATTGACACACAACCGTTAGTGTAAGTAATAACGATAATAATTTATTGTAAATAATTTAAATAATAACACAAGCTTTAATAATCTTACAAATACCATACGCGTTTAAAAATTTAAAAAAAATTTAAGTACAGATATACAGTTAACTTATAAAACGTGTCTAATCATAGTGTACTTCATTTATAAGATGAATCTGTAAATGTTATCATAAAAAAAATTTAGATTAAACGGAATTATTTTTTTAATTTTGTCGTTCAAATAACAATCAAAATAAATAACATAACTAAACTTTGTTCTAAGTAGATGTTTTTATCAGGAAATAAAGTTTGTTTTATGTAGTTCCTATTATCGTTAAATATCAAAGCAATAGTCCAATGTCTCAAAGCTATATTCCACACTTTCAAACATAATTGTTTAACGTTAAACCATATGAACAAAGATATCAACCAAATTATCAGCCAACTTCATACAATGCTAAATTGATCCATGTGTCTGTTTCAAACGAACCATTTCTGAATAAATACAGCGAGAAAAATAAGACTTTTAATTAAATTAACCTAAATTCTTGTTCGCATGCGTTATTGAAAATACTGATTTTCCCCTATGCTTTAGGAAAGAAAAGAAAATTCCTTAAAGGACTTTTTTTCCAACTACCAAATCGGCATAGTTAAGTAGTTATCTTTTTAATTTTGGTGGATGGAGACTGAACCATCCATGGCTTCGACCGGAGTTCAATTCCCTGTATTAAATACTAAGCGTCTTGTCGATTGTTTCTTCGATTCGTTGTTCGGGATTCATTCTAAAGCAATATCTGTAGTGGTTTTAAAACCGGAAAAGGCTTAATGTCTCAAAATTGAGAAGTAATTTTCAGAGCTTTATCTGATGCAATTTTGCAAAATTATTGAGTCTTCCTCAAAAAAAAAATTTGTTTCTTATTTTACAAAAACATTTCGTTTTTGATTCTCTGTCATTTTACGCAAGATTATTGATAAATAATTTCGATAGATTCTTGTGTAAAAAAATGCAATAATCGAGTAATCAAATAAATAATTTGTTCAGTGCATTCTAAATTTTTGAACTGTAGGGGAGAGTGGGGTCAATTGTAACAGGGTACGATTGTAACAGAGCAAAAATTTCGAGTGTCGGGTTCTAGATTTGATTCCTAGGTGGCGCACAAGGTGTATTTAATAAATCTACATGTACACACCTGCTGGCAACCATTTTTAAGTACTTTTGAAGGAGTTACATCACAAAAGATATTTTCACGCTACGTAATTCCTTTTTTTGGTATTAGAATATTATATTGTAACAAAGTAATTTTATTTAAACAAATAAAACTTATTAACCGAATATGTAAGTGAACACCTTAATTAACATTTCAATAAAAAAAAATCAGTTTTGTTAATTAACTAGCATTTTTTTTAACAAATGAAGCTGAAATGGCGTCATGGGGACGTTTTTAACAATAAGTAAAGGGGCGATTGTAACAGCTGAAAATAAATAATCATATGTTTACAAACCATTACTTAACTCTTTAAGAACCACCAATAGTTTCCTATATCATTCATATTATGTTGCATGTGCATTATTTTATTTGTTCCCTTTCACAGCATAAATTAAAATTTTTAACCCCTTAAAGTTAAAAGTTTAACCCTTTAGGTCTCTGCTCATAATTATTTTTACTATTTTTCCTCCTAAAATATCACTACTATTTTGATCAATAAAAAAATATATCACAACTATGATAATATGTATAATTGACTATGTTTTAGTTGAATTTATGAACTGTTACAATTGACCCCGTAAGTGGGGACAATTGTAACAACTGCACGACTGTCAAAAATTGTTAATAACTAATATAATAACATTTAAAATAAGGTATATATTTATTTTCTAGTAGAGGATAGTCTACTTTATTCGTCTGTCAATTAATATTAATAATATATTGGATTTTTTGTTAGTTAAAAATAGTTAAGTAAAAAATGTTACAATTGACCCCACTCTCCCCTATAGAAATACTCTAAAATACCTTAAAAAGCGCTTACAATATCAAATTTCATTCTTATCCTCGTGAAATAAAATCAAAAAAGGTCGTAATTATGTAGGTACCTCCAAAAACACAGCTTAGCTCGTAAGATATACTCTTAAAAGAGTTTTTCATTGTTGAACCATAATACCGGTACCTTGAACAATATAACGGTGCAAATCGGATGCAATCTTAATAAAGTCTTAAATTGAACCATGTTTCCGTCCAAGTTGAACCATAGCATCGTATAATTAAGTTTAAAAAGTACGATTATGTAATTCAACTAAACAACAAACTTAAAGAGTATTATAGTTCAATCATCGTACTCCAATATTTCTAGCAGTATGTTCAAAATACAAATAAATTAAAAACATTTTACCTGTTTTTAATCTTGACTATCTCCATCGCTGCTGTACTCTTCTTCTACACATTGTATTAAAATCATCTTTTGTTGAGCTTCAATAATACACTGTTTAAAATCATCTTTTGTTAAGCTTCAATAATACACTGTTTAAAATCATCTTTGTTGAGCTTCTTTAATACGCTGTTTAAATTTATCTCTGTTGTGCTCCTTCAATAAACTGTATAACATGTTTTCTTTAATCTGGTTGCTTACACCTTTCAACGCAGAACCTGAGCTTAAATATTTTTTTCATGTTTTAAGAACTGTTATTTCATGTTTTATGAACATAACGAGTGTGTTATTTAAATCCATGTGTCTTTCCACAGCTCTAATGTATGCTAGCATCTTCGGTAACGTATCGGCAATCATTCAGAGGTTATATTCAGGAACTGCACGGTATCACACTCAGTTGTTAAGGGTGAAAGAATTTATTCGCTTCCATCAAATACCGAATCCACTGAGGCAGAGGCTGGAAGAATATTTCCAGCACGCATGGACATACACGAACGGCATAGATATGAACATGGTAAGTAATCTTTATTTTTGCATGAAATGTTCGGTTTTCAATTGTCGACATCATACCAGCTCACCACCATGTCCTTGCATTGAATAACATATTTTACTTCATCCTTGGAATTTAATTGCCTATTTAACAAATATCCCTTCAACGCAGCTAGCAAACAGTAATCATTGAGATCCAAACTCGACTTATAAGATAGATATGCGACAATATTTCGTTAAAACTCTAGCTGGAGAACGAAATTATAAGAGGTGATGAAACGAAAAATAAGTCGCATTGTTTTCTGGAAAAAATTCACTGTAGCAGAACCCTACTTGCGTAAAATTACATAATCCGATCTAAACAACAACAAAGAAACGTTTCTTATTTTCTATTAAAATGTTTAAAACATGCTAATTCAATATTCTTATTCTACCACAAAAACTTAATATATAATGAAAATTCAATATGAAGAAATAGGTACATGGAATGGGTACAAAAAATGCACTAATGCAAAGAAGAATACAGAAATCAGATTTTTGTTAAGACCTAGTAATTAAGTAATCGAATAAGCAATCGATAATTAAAAAATTATTATGAACTTTATTAAAATACTCCTAAACATAATGCTTAAAAAGTCATTAGTCATAATTCTTGAATTGTTGAGCCATTCTTTTTTAATTTTTAAAATTGTTTTTAGCAGGGACTTCATATCGCATTGCTTTAAATGTTTTAATCCAGACATAAAATGAGGTAAATTTTTTAAAAAAATAAATATAGCATTTTATATAGCATTCAAAGCTTTTATTTTGAATCATTATATACTTTCCAATAAATGTTAAAAACAAGCTAAAATAAATTATTCTGATGAATATCTCAACTATAGTCGACTCATCAATTGTACAACTAATCAAAAAAGTTTGACCACTGTTTCGCCACCAGAACTCCAATCACCTAGCCCTTTCTCTCTATCTAATCTTACAAATTGCTTTACGTAAGACTATATATAATTTTATTGATCTTCCTAATTCATGTCTTGGGAAATACAATCGGACAAAAATATCTCAACTTACTCAATCGGATTCATTCCTGCACTTGATGAAGCTAAATAAGTTTTTGAAGTTTATATTGATGTCATTTTCAATTAAATGAAAAATTTAAAAATATAATAAGCAAAAAAAAAATTACCTTGCATAGCTTTTGATCTCAATATCAAATTTTTACGGGCTAAGTTGCAACCTTTATAGTCCGAGAGATTCACTTTAAATATGCTGGTTAATTTGTGATAACTACTAATTAATCTGTGATAACTATTAATCTGTGATAACAAAAATGCGGACAAAACATACTTTTTGTATTATTTGGGCAATTCCATATGTGACGGAATGACATTTTGACTTGAAAAATAACATTTCATTTAAGTTTCTATGCATCTAATTTCAAGTAAACATTGTTTTTTCTCATGCATATCATTATTATTGGCATAATGCGATTCATAAACTAAAAAAAAAGGATTTTCTATCTTTTTTATTTTTAATTTTACGAACTTTTTATTTGTGTGACGGAATGACATTTTGGCAACCAAGCTTTTGGCATGCTGCTTAAAACTGGTAGTTTCTGTGAATTTTGCAGCTATTATTTTTCTGAACTGTTTTTTACTTTTAGTATAATGTGTAAGCAATGTAAAATCTGAATTTGGAAAATTAACCTCAGGTTGGCTAGCAGTTATTAGCATCTATTTGCTGTGACGGAATGACCGTGACGGAATGACAAAAAGTTTAGTGGAAGAAAGTCTTCATTTAAAAAATGTTTTATTAATATGTAAATGATAAACAGAATGTAACAGATAAACAGAATTAATATTTACGTAAGAATCAGTTAAAATTTCAACAATTTGAAAATTAGGTTGTCTCAGAAGAGGTTTTATATCTAACTTGCCAATGTCACATCTTATCTTCGTTCTCAGGAAATTTATGCATAAATCAATTTTTGTCCCATGTTCTTTAAATACTTTAACATCTAAATCGTCTTTGTTTATCAAAGTAATTTGCGCTGCATATAAATGTGCCTTCTTTTTTTTCGCAGTATGGGACAATGATTAAAGAGCCGACCGCATACTCCTCAATCATATTTTCCATTTCCTCTTCAAAACAGTGGCTTTTCAAATCATACACTTGGTTTTGGTTAAAATTAGAAAGCATTCCAATTTTGATGATTCGCTTCTCAACTACATGAGCATCTAGTGCAGGTCTCTTGTTCCTGGCAATGCTAATGTAGCAAGTGTCTAGCTGAAGTCATTCTCTTTTGCCCTCTCTTAAATAGAATAGCTGGACAAAAACAAAACTTCAACGATTTGTTGCTTCGACTTTATGAAATCATAAAATTCTTTTACATATTATGTGCCGTTTTACAGCAGCCAACATCTTGTTTGGCCTTTTAGAACAACATCACAATTACATGGTATTTATAGGTGCATGTGCTGTGAGGTATTAATGAAATACACTTAACAAAAATGAGAATAAGAACAAAAATGAGATAAGACACACTTTACATCAATATATGCTTCTTTATGAAAAGCCTCTTTTAAGGCCATAAGTATATATTGCATCTGCACTCTTCGTTACTCTGTCAGAGTTTGTATTATGACTGAATCCTTCATACTTGGGGGCTTGTAACTAACATCATCTTGACAGTAAAATTTTTTTAACCAAATTAAACAGCTCATCAACATTACTTTTCTCACTTAGTTTCTTTTGAGTTCGATGTTAAATACTTCTCACATAAAGACTGAATTAATTTTTTTACCTCTATTGGTGATTTTGGAAGTGAGTGTACAATTTTTTTTATGGTGAGTGTACAATTTTTTTTATGGCTTTACCAAGACTCTGCAGGAATTTGTATAGGGAATTTAAATTATTTGTATGTGAAGAGATTGGTAGAATTTGATTTTTTCTTTGTTTACACAATCTCTGCACAACAGCGTTTGCACTTCTGAGTTTTTTAAGTCCAACTTTTGTCGCGGAAGCTTTCTTCTCTGCCTTTCTTTCTCTGTTTTTTTTCTTCATCATATCATGGGGATCTTGGTCTTTTTCAACATTTTATCTGTCTTTCAACAGCTGTTTTAGCCATTAGGTTAATTGAAAAAAAAAATAATTCCCTAGTTTTTGACTAAGCTTCTCAAGGACTCGTTTTGTCATTCCATCGCCGAAGATGTGTCATTCCGTCACGCTAATTATTGGAAGTTAATAATCAAATGCATAGAATTTTACAATTTCTCATTGATTCTTATGCCACATCTGCTTTATATTCCAAAATATACACATTTTCATTTTGAAATTTAGTTGCAGTTTTAAAAAAAATACTAAAACATGTGACGGAATGACACAAAAAAAGTTACTTTTATTTTATATATTAAACTTAAAATGACTTAAAGACTATGTTTTAAATGTTTAAATTTTGTACTATATGCATAATTTTATCAAAATATTGCAAAAGAAAGATACATTTATTTTATTTTATAAGTGTTTTTCAAGAAAACAATTTCAGCACAAATGTGAACAGCCATGTGATTACTTTAGCATACTGCTAGATTCAAAAAACTTAAAATTATCAAAAATGAAACTTGAATAAGTAGACTTTGGCTATTTCTGAACATATTTTTAAATTCAAAGTATGCAATTCATAAAAAAAAAAAAATTCGCTTAAAAGTTGACACTTTCATGGAATTGTCCATATAATAAATGTATTTCTTGCCTAATTCGAACCTTAATTCATCCAAAAAAGGACATAATTACATGGTGGAAAATAGGACAATGATTGTTTACGCAGGAAATTCGTAGTTTTCGAGTCTCAGTTTGAATATCTAAATATTTTTTGTATACAATAAAAAAAATTTAAATCATTAAGGTGAAAAAGTTACAATTTTCCCAATTCATTAGTGTTCAATGTGTTTTTGTACTTCATTTGCTCACATATTAATTTGTGGCACCAAATGTGTGTATTCATATACAGGGGGAGGGGGGATAATGAAAAAACTTCTGTACTAACACATTTTTTTTTTCAAATTTCTCGAGAAATACTTAAAGAATCATTTTATAACTTCAGAAGTGTTTAAATCATGCGATTACTCATACTCACTCACCCATGAAGTTCAGAGGTTTGAGTGACCGATAATAAATTACATGCGAAAAATAGTGTTTTTATATAGTATTTAGCTTAAATATTTATGGAGATATGGACATTTTAAAAGAAAAAACATTTTCGTTTTTCAGCTAAAACTTTAAAAAATTTCAATAAAATTAATCACAATTTTTAGAGTAATTTAAAATTAACTGCAATTTTTTTCTTTAAAATTTAAAAAAACATTTCTTGGAAACTGTGCAATACGCAAATAAATTAATAGCGTAACATATAAGTTCATTTCTTTTCATAATTTTGTAGTGAATTTAGTTTTATAACTGTCGCCGACCTTACTTTTGGCTTGCGACTACTAAAATTTATCTTCGTAGCCCAGTATTTTTGAACCCAATCCAGAAAACAAGGGAACTCCTAGATCAAGTATTGAGAGAAATTTGTATCCATGGACGACTTTTTGATGGAACTAACCCGCATTCGCGTTACATGACGAGGAAAACCACTAAAATCTCCCACTGTTAGCCTGACGGCAAGGGGACTCTAACCCATGATCCGTCTACCACTGAGGATATTTTACGTCAGCACTGTGGTCAGTTCGAGCCGGGGGTGGAATTCGTACCAACCAGCCATCTCTGGGATTCGAACTTGGTTCACCTCATTGAAGGACGAAAGCTCTATCCCCTGAGCCACCAGGGCTCTTTGGAATCTAATTGAAATATTTGCTTCAAGCGTTCAAAATTGATCTTGTCATTTTTTTCCAAAACAACTCAAAATATCCAATCATATCTCTGATTCGGAGCTAAAGCAAAGGATTTAAAACTCTAACAATTTTATGCAGACATCATTTTCAATTATTTTTAAGTCAGTGCTTCTGAATATGAAATTTAACCGCACTGTACTAAATCGCTATATTTACGGAAAAGCTCAAGGATTTAATTGGTTTAAAAGTTGTGACGTTTTCATTTCGTAAAATACAGATTCATTTTTTAAAACAATCTGAACAGGCGCCTACATTAATTAAAATAGGGCTCTATATTTCGCGTTAGATGGAATTAAGTATATGAAAATATGTATATTTGATAAACCAGTTTTATATCCGCACGCAATCACATTAAATCCTATATGCACTCGAATAATACCCAAGAGATAAGTTTATACCCAACAGAATAAATTATATTTTAGATTGCCACATTCCTACATTAAATCATTCATTAAAATTATTTATTCATTATGGTTTGGTTTAGAAAAGCGCAGATCTAAGTCTTTTCGAGATATTACTTTCGTTTACAGTTATCACTGATTTTGTTTTAAATCTGCTTTTTATTATTTTATCAATGTTTGACTTAATATTAAAAAAAATTTAAAAAAATTAATAAACATATTATAAAATAATCAATAAGAACTTATGAGTATTTTTTTTCTTTTAGAAAAATACTATCAAAATAACTTTTCTTCTCGGAAAAAAAAATCTTAGAAAATTACCGTACTGTTTAGCAATGACATTTCTTGTAAAAGAAACCATAATTTTCGATTATAAAACCAAAAATATACGGTATTTAAATCATTCATTTTGCAATTTTAGCGTTGGTAGCCGTTTATTGGAGATCCTGGTTATCAAAATTATAGTTCTCATTATAGTAAAAAAATACAAAATTTTAAATAAAATTATTTTAAGTTAATTGATTTATTTATAGTAAAAAATACATTTAGTAAAATATACAAAATGGAAAAGTAAATTAAATCGAATAAATTGTTTTTATGCCATTCTCTAGGGTACCATGATAAAATTAGCAAATTTCACCCAATGTACCAAATTTTATAACATATTATAAAACTATAATTTATTCATTTATTTATTTTTTACCAAAATTGTTACTTGAGCGATTGGGATTAATTACCAAGTTTTTCGGTGTTCCCATATCGATATTCCCAAATCTTCTTAGAGTCCGAAGCGCAGCAAACTTCGGGTAGTTTTAAACATACTTTTTTCCTTAGTGTAGATATAACATTTTCGACTGCTGAAAACTATTTGTTCTTTCATTGTAACTATTTAAGACGTTTAAAAAAATAACTGATTTAAATACAATGCATAATAATAAAATTAAGTGTAAATTGAATCAGCAATGTACATTAGTTGTTCATCGATATTCGCTATGTTTACAATTTGTTTAAAGTATTCTAGAAATACTTAGAGATTTCATATCATAAAAATTTGATTTTGTTATTTATAACAAAAACTACAATAAAAAGTCCTATTAAATTGATTTTAAATAAAAGAAAATCCATGACAAAATAAATCAATAATCAGTGAATTCGATAAATTTCCAAACTAAAAATCCAAAAATCGATAAATTTCGCTATCAACCACTGAGACAAAAAGTATCGCCAAAACTTACAGAATATGGTAAAGTTTACCATATTTCTGGCTCGGTAATTTTTACCGAAGCGCTTTGGTAATAATTTCTATAAAATTAACAATAAAGCATGCTTTTGTAAAATATGATGAAATTTGGTAAATGAAGTAAAATTTAGTAATTTTATCATAATACCTTAGCCTGGCATAAAAACCATTTATTCAGTTAAACTATTATTTTTAAACTATTCGGTTAAACTTTTCAATTTTGTATTTTTTTACTGAATGAGTGGAAATAAAAACTATAATTTTGAAAACTAGAATTTCTGGTAAATCGTTACCATAAGAACAAAAAAATTACCAAATGAATGGTATAAATGCATTATATTTTTGTTGTATCAAACAGAATTTTCTTTTTTTACCAGAAATGCCATTACCATACGGTAAAGTAATTTTACCAGAATTTTTTTCTCCAATCCCTATGAAAAAATATGAACATGAGGTCGTATACATGAATAGCAATACAGATATTAAAAAAAACGAATAACAAAAGTTTCTCACAAAAATTACATTCATTTTACCGGACGAGAGTAGATACACTACCTCCCCGTGGTGCACCCTGGTAACGTCTTTGACAGCTAAAATATCTACTAATTCCGGCATGCAGCATCACTCTAATCGGGATCACTCATGTAGTGTTCCGTGTAGGCTTAGTGTTCTTCTATGGAATGCAGGTGATCTAAGCACTTGATGGGATGTTCGGCTGTACACGGAGACTCCGAAGTAAACAGATATTGGAGTGCTAGGCATCTGCTAATGAGTCATTGACTTTTTCCCCTTATCTATGTTTATTCTTCCTGTCAAGAGTTTGTCAATTTCTGCCATTAAAAGTAAAAAAATAATAAAAATAAAAATTACTGTGCGAGATAAGATTTCTTTCCTTTAAAAATCATATTTGTAATCAAAAGATGACAATTAATTTCAGGGTAATCAAAACAAATCTAATGTGAAAATAATGTATTTGATTTATTTTTCAGGTTCTCAAAGGTTTCCCGGATTGCCTACAAGCAGACATATGCCTCCACTTGAATCGGAACTTGCTCAATAACTGCTCCGCTTTCAAAGGGGCCAGTCCTGGATGCCTTCGAGCTCTCTCCTTGAAATTCAAAACTACACACGCACCCCCCGGTGATACGCTGGTCCACCGGGGGGATGTCCTCACAGCACTTTATTTTCTTTCCAGGGGAAGCATAGAGATCATTAAAGATGATGTCATCCAAGCCATTTTAGGTAAAACATTCTTTCATCTTATTAACGTCTGATCGTTAAGACACGGTTCCCAGCAGATCACCGAATCAGTGTGCGGGTGGGTGACCACTTGGATCAGTCTTCATAGGGACCGAGGGTGCGTGGTATAGGTCCTCGCTAAACTGTCCTACTTTAAAGTGCTCGACTTCGCGTGCAGGTTGTCGGGCTACCGAAGCGGGGGTTCCTTCCCCTCTGCAGATGATCACAATTGTGATATCCTGTCTTCGGATCATCCTCAGGGATGTTTCCCAGACTGTCGCCAATAGCCCATTGTGCAGCTCTAGTATGACGTAAATGAAATACGACAACAACAACTCATCTTATTATCTGTCATTTTCACTAATTGATGATCACGGAGAGAATTGAGAATTATTACGTTTTGACAATGCACTAAAGTGGGAAATGGGTTCGCTCCGAGAGTTATTGCGCAGTGAAGATAGACCGTGCTGGGGAGAATGGGTTTTGTCCCCGTTAATTTCCTTTTTACTCACAATCAGATTTCCTGGATATAAACTGCTCATCTCTCTTGACCTTCCTTTATTATTTAAAACGGAAAATAGTCAAAAATTTTATTTGAAAAAATTTTCAATTTTTTAACTGGCTAGAGTACTCACATCTATATGAGAGTTGTGTTACCAATGACAGTGTGAGTTTCAACCGCTTCTAGGTAGTGGCAAGCAGACGTTTTTTTACGATATTAATGCAAAGAGGAATGAAATTCAATCGAAATTTCTGTCAACTTTTCGAAAAGCTGAAACACTCGAATTGCAATCAGAGCTTTGTGCTGCACAGTAATGCAAATTGAAATTGTTTCCTTGCTCCACAAGCAGAAATTATCTGAATACTATTCCACAAGAGAATTATCGCATTTCAAAATTTAGACCATATTCCGTAAAACTGGACTATTCAAATTATAATAGGAGCTTTGTCTAGTTGGAAATTCAAGTGTCAATTGTGTTTTGGAGCAACAAACAATTTATCACGGATTTACCATGTTCCGACTATTAATAAAATGCATACACTGCAACATTTTTTTGCCTGATGACAATGATGTAAGTTAGGCCAGGATAGCCTGGTTGGTAAGACACTGGTCCCATGTTCAAGAGGTCGTGGGATCGATCCCCGCCAGCCGAAGACTCGTGGCGTATTAAATGGTGATTAATGCACGTTAAATCTGTTGAGTCACGAAGTCCTCTGTGATCCCATTACAAATCATACCTCTGGGGGTACTAATCCAGGAGTGTCCTTGTCATCTGGATTAGTTCAAAATTACAAGGCCACAGAGTTGAACATTAGTAGTCGTAAACCCGAAAAAATCGGGTCGGCTGTTCAACGACGGTTATAAAATAAAAATAAAATGATGCAAGCTACAATTGCTTTCCAGAAGTTGCTTGCAAAATTTCTCTTCGTTTTATCGCTACAATCGCCACAACTTTTCTGCATAAATAAGTTAACAAACTCAAAACTAAAAAGTAGAAAATAATAAAGAAGAATAACATTTTTAAAAACTACAGTTAAACGGACGAAAAAAAGAAGAAACAATTGCATATTTATGACACCTAATATAAAGTCATAATGAGTAACGCCTTCTTAATAAACTTCTATCATCACAAAAAAATCGCTCTTAGAATAATTCTAAAGCAATGCGATCAACGTTTATTATTTTAGGCGCAATAAAAATAAAATTTCCTCTTTTTAGTCCCCTTTTAACGCAGTGCTTAAAATTTCGATTTAATTTTTGTTTGTCTCATTGATCATGTAATAGAGTTGATATTCAACTTTTGTCACCAATTAAGCATTCCACGTACATTTTAGTTGACGAAAATTATCTAAGTTAGAATGCATGTATATTGATTGCATGCATTCCCGGTATTCCCGTGTACTTTCTCAGAAAAAAATAATGAATCAATCATTGTAATTTTTTCTGAGAAAGTGCACGATAATGTCGATGTCGAACTATAATGTCAAATTTGCCTTAAGGGCATCGTTCACGGAAACAATAATGTTATCGTCTGTGGCAAAGTAGGCCAAATAGCTGGTTAAGAGCGATAAAAATTATAATCAATTCCGTCTGAAAGGCTTTGTTGATATAGCGCGAATAATATCTAAATGTTATTTGAAATAATTAGTAGAAATAAATATTATTATTATTACGCCACAAAATATAAAGCAAAATAACTCCTAAACTTTTCATGGTAAATCCAACGCTGCGATAGAACTTTAACGAGATTTATTGGAAATTGAATTCATTGAATAGTCAGAAACACGCTTCTTCATAAAAATTTGATTGAAAGTTACCAATAGCCAATTTTACTCATACAAGCTACTTTTCAATATTAAACATAAATCATTTGAACTGAAAATGTAATAAAATGTTTCCAAGTGAGTGCTTTGTTGAGTTATGTAAAAAAAATATTTGTTTTTGAAAAAAAAAATACAAATAACTTTAAATTTAAAAAGGAAAGCTTTAAATAAAAAAAATTAAAAACTAACTTTGAAAAATTTATTTTAATAAAACAATCATCCGAGTTTTAACATGTGCTCTTATTTACTAGGAATGGCCGGCCAGGTGGCCAAGCGGTTAGCGTGCCTGACCTGCGAAACTAATAGCTCCGGGTTCGAATCCCGCTCAGAGGTCATGAATGTTTCTCTCTCTGTGCTGTCCTCTGTTCTGTGTGATATGTGATTGTGGCCCACCCTATGAACGGGTATCTGTGGCAGTGTGGCGTGCGTAATGTTGCTCGTCTCCGTAACTTAGGTTCACAGGTGTAACGGTAAATGAGCTTCCGACGTCTTAAGAGGTGAAGAACGAAAGTTCAGTACTTGCCTTTAAGAAGAAAAAAAGAAAAGAAATTATTAGGAAATAAAATCTTTAATGATATTTTAATAGTATTAAAGTAATTGTTGTGTTATTTGTAAGAAAATATTCGCATTCTGTTTTCAACTGTTGTCTATTATACTTTCTAAAGTGCAAATCTTACAAACCAAAATAATAAATAGATATCATTTACTCATTCCCTGAAAGTAAATTTAGTTTGAGAGCTATGCATAAATATATTGCATTTTTCCACAGCTCTCTTTACATTTTATTCATTATGATTTTACTAACTTTAAAAAAATATGAATGCAATTTTGTATTTAATATTTAATTAATTTTTCAAATTTTGTGATATATCAATTATTTAAATTAAATTAATAAATAATATTATTTAAAAAATAATGTTAATTGAAATTAATTATATTAATTAAAAATTAAAAAATAATATTAATTAAAAATTAAAATATTAATTAAAAGTTAAAAAATAATATCAATTAAAAATTAAAAAATATTAATTAAAAATTAAAAAATATTAATTAAAAGTTAAAAAATAATATTAATTATTCAAATTTTGTATTTAATATTTAATTAACTTAGTTGGAAAAAAAAGTATTACATTTCTGAATTTTTGTGTTCTGATTTAAAGTGGACCCTTCTCTTTGGCGAATATATTTCTCGGTCGCGAAAGTGGTCATTTCACCCAAAAACTTGCAGTAAAATTCTACACAAAAGTAAAATTTGTCGATTCTAAACAGTTATTTCAGCTTGGTTACTAACAAGCTTAAGTACATAGATTTACATGCATAAATAGTTAGGTTTATAAATATTTTGAGAATTCTATAATTCAGACTATGATTGTATCGAACAAAAATGAGTATTACCAGGGACACCAGATACCCGGTAAAATCGGCTGGGTCCCAATACACAGTAAAGATTCATGAGACTGAAAACAGGTACGGGATAATAAAATTATTTTACCGGTGATATAAATCTGACTGGGTACCGGGTAATTACTGGGTATCCGGTACATCTCTAGTAAATCATTTACGAGGTTTGCTGACTTGCCTGCAAGAAGAGTTCGTAGCGATAGTGATGGACTAAACCCCCTGCTACCACAGCTGTTGATTGTTAAAGATGATAAACCAACATCGAATGCCTAAATGTATATTGCAATACATAAAGCATCTTACGAATGAGCTGAGCATGAAAGATCAAAGATTATCATTCAGTACATTAGAGAGAATACTGAGTGGTGCTGCTATTTAGTTAGATTTAATGATTGGAGTTGCTGCCATCTACTAAGACAATCGGAAAAGTCGGAATTGAGTAGGTGCCCCTTCTGTCATGGAAGGGGTATGAACTTCTGAAATCTAGAAATGGATCGAAGATGGCGCATTCGTTTAAGTCCGGTAAAGGTTTGAGAAGTGCAAGTATTGATGGTTAAGATCAAAACATTCAATTCGCTAGTCAACACAGCAGTGGGTTATGCTTCTTAGCAAAGATGATCACTCTGCCGCGAAAGACATGGTTGCCTTAGAAAGTTTGGACGCAATAGAATACATATGCTACTTGACTGTGTTTGACAAATAATAAAGTGACTTTTATAGTTTCATTTATGGCTCTATTAGCTAAAAAGATATAAAGGAAGCAAACACGTTAAAAGTCTTATGTAACAATGACTACGAACAACATTTAAGTTAGAGTTTTTTCCTGCTGCGAAAATGTAATCGAAATGACTCGTTAACATGTTTTAATACTCTCTAATTAGATTCTCGTAGTATATTATATATTTTTAGTTTAGAAGTGTGCCATGTCTCCGTAACTATATTATGTAGGTCATTAGTTTTAGAATCCATAAGCAAATTATTAAACTTGTCTTCAAAAATATTGACAGACAAACGGAAAATCATTAGCATATCATCAAGATCTATGTAATCGAAACATTACAACGACTTGTTGACTACTGCTCTTCGGTATAAATTATAAATTCATTATCTTCTCAATAGTTAGATAGATTAAAACGTTTGGCAAATGTTCTGCTGAAGAAATTATTATATATTACGCTTAGAATTTAGCGTATTTTATTAATAGACACTACACAAGAAACCTTAAATGCTGAATTTTATACAATATAATATACATTTAATTTTCTATCATCTTTAACCATAAATTTAAAAGCATTTACAAATTATTAAATTTTCAAAACAAGCATTAGAAAAAATCTGCTTTAACAACATCATAATAGAGTCATGAGTTATCAGTAAATTAGATTTGAAAGTTTAGATTTATTCAGAAACCAATTCCGATTTTAAAAAAATTATAAATCATGCCAGAAAAATTTAATATTGTGAATATTGTAATTTAATATTATGCCAGAACAAAGAAGTTATTTAAAGTGTTTTATTCCTTTTCACAAATCACCAAGACAGTATTTTTAATAACTTAAATTAAAAATATTTTATTTAATATAATATTTCATTATTTTAAAAATAAGACAATAGTTCCTAGTAAACTTTTAAATTTAAAATGAAATGCAATTCTTAATTAATTTAACTGAAAAACTGAACTGAAAAATCAATAACTTTCCAGTTGAAAAGGTCTAATGCTTTAAAGATTTTTTGATACAAAACTAACTAGATTGGACTTTTTTTACGTAAAAAGGATTCAAATTTACAATATACTGGCATCTTATTTATAACTCTTCTTTCATCCTAACAAATTTAATTTTAAAATTCAATGCCGCAATGAGTTTTTTAGTGAATAAAAAAGAAAAATTTGATAAAATATGCAAAAACTATACAGCAATAACAAATTTTTTCGTTAAGTATAAATAATTTTTATAAGCTTACATTATAAAATATTTTTCTTTGCATGTTGAAAAGAGAGAAAAAAATATCCCTTCATTTTGTTAATACATAGGAGAAATTTGGAATTCATGAAAATATGTTTAAATAAAAACAAACTCTAAAATTCTAAAATAATATTTTTGCTTTCTCTTAGGCAAAATTAAATTTTATTAAAAAAGAGTAAATCTCTGCTGAGGTTTATACATAAATAAATCTAATTTTACTAAAGAATGTTTTATGTTCAAATTGGGAATCATTGAGCTTTTACTGATTTATTCTGTCGATCAGGGCTCAAGTATTAGACAAACACTCTCACTTTCTTTGGAGAAAAAAAAATCACTGTTAAATATTTGATGCAAGACTCTTTTCTTTTAAACTTTTATTACTTCCTACTTTATTGGGTTTCTTTTTATCTCATCCCAATGGAATAATAACGATAATAATAGCCAAAGTCAATTGATTTGGGTTTGTGGAATCATCATTGTAAAGTTTAACACAAATAAGCTTTTTTCCTACAACGAAGATTAATAAATATTACCTAAGAAAAAATATTACCATTCTTGGGCTGTGTACGAAATTATTCCTCTGAGGCGACATACCGCCTGAAAGAGAGACCTATGACTTTATTTTTAAAAAAACGATAAAGCTTTAAGAAGAAGAGGAATTTTGTTTTAGAAATTAAAAAAAATTAAAATAATTACTGAACTCCTATTCTTGAATGACTAATATTCCTTATAACGAGTTTAACTTTTTATTTTGGCTTACTGTTATAAAATTTTTAAAAACGGCTGTTTTGTGTATTAAAAAAAGGATTTTTGTTAACAAACATAAAGATATTTCTTAAAAAATAACTTACATCTTGAAAGGAAATATTAATAAATATTTAATAATGCTTAGTATAAAATACTGAAAAATGATTAGCAATAAGATTAATCAGATTTATTTTTTTATATTTATCAAATTTATTATGATATATAGAAACTACCATAGTACAGTTTTACGAAATCTTGAAATTTATGTATAATAAAACCCTACCAACAGTATTAAATTGACGTAGTGAGAACATATTGACGTAGTAAAAAACATATGTAACTGGTACGTTAAATCAAGTTAGAATCTTAAAATTTCTGCATAATGAAAACTTTAACAATCATATTAAATGTATGTAGTGTTTCCCTAGAACATGAGTAAATGATACGTTAAATCATTTTCGAATCTTAAAATTCCTACATAATGAAAACTCTAACGATGTTAAATTGACGTTGTGTTTCCAAAGAACATGTGTAACTGGTACGTTAAATCAAGTTAGAATCTTAAAATTCCTACATAACGAAAACTTTCACGATCATATTATATGTAGTGTTTCCCTAGAACATAAGTAACTGGTACGTTACACGAAGTTAGAATTTTAAAATTCTTACAGAATGAAAACTTTTACTATCATATTAAATTTATGTAGTATTTCCTTAGAACATAAGTAACTGGTACGTTAAATCAAGTTCAAATCTTAAAATTCTTACATAATGAAAAACTTTTAACAATCATATTAAATTTATGTATTGTTTCCCTAGAGCATAAGTAACTGGTACGTTAAACCATGACTGAATCTTAAAATTCCTGAATTATGAAAACTGACGATCATATTAAATTCATGTGGTGTTTCCCTAGAACGTCTTGTTCTATATAAACTACATAAATTTAATACTGTTGATAGTGTTTTATTATACGTAAATTTCACGATTCAGTTGTTTCTCTAGATCACAATAAATCCCACAAATGTAAAACAAATATCCGATTAATCTTATTGCTAATTATTTATCAATATTTTATCCTAAACGTACATAAGAAATAAAAATAAGTTATTCATACGCCGATTTATAATACGGCGATTAAAATTATTATCGATCATATTTATTTCATTAGAAATTTATTTCGTCATTGTAAATAAAATGAAAAACTGTTTTTAGTTAAGTTTTACATAATACAGGCAAAAAACTATTCAGGAGCAACAAATATTCTTTTTTGAAATTGTTAGAGTTAATTTAACCGAAATTCAAAACTTGAGATTGAAAATAAATAATTAATCTCTTCGTATTAGATAGATTATAGCACACATTTTCACAAAATGCTCAATTGAGAAGAAGTTCTTGAGTAAAACTTCTTGAGTAGAACTTTTTTAATTATATATTTATCTTCGAGAAAAGAATGAATGAAAACTTACCCTTCAAAGAAGAAACCTAATTATCCTTCTTCCTCTCTTGCTAGATCTATTTCTTTTTATTTAGTAACATTTCTCTGAAAATGAAGCAGACATAATAATATATTTCATCTAATATATGCAATTCCCAATTTTTTTTTCAAATAAATTTTATTTTGATATGAATTATAATGCACGAAGAAAAAAATTCTGTTGGAATTACCTCACTGTATTGTCACGACATTTCTGTTAAAAAATAAACATAATTTTGTTAATAGAAATCGAAATATACTGTGTTTAAACCATTCATTTGGTAATTTTTCCATTCATAAGACAACGGTTAATTGGAAATTCTGAATTTCAAATTAATAGTTCTGATTACCAGCATTTAGAAAAAAATACAGAATCAATAAATAAATTTAGCCGAATAAATGGTTTTAATGCCAAGCTTTCAGTGATCATGATAAAATTATCAAATTTCACCATATTTACGAAATTTTATCACTTATTATTAAATTGTATTTTGCTGTTAATTTAACCAAAATCATGATTAAAGCACTTCAGTAAAAATTACCGAGTTTTTTGGTGTTCCCATAAAATCATTAATACGGTATATTTTACCATATTTTGGTAGTTTTGCCCATATTTTTTTTCTGAGTGTGATATAAAGTTATGATATCGAACAACATGAGAAAAATTAGTGAAAAAATAAATCTCAAAAAACAAATACATAGAATGAGAAGAAAAAAAAATTGTTAAAAGATTTACCTTTTACCCATTTTCTTATATTTTTTCATATAAGAGTTTACTTGTTTAATCTAATATATTCTTGGTTCTTAATATCAAAGATAAAAGTACTGGTAAGTTTCATCTTGCCTTTTTCTATAAGCCGTCGTGATTTATTTCGGTTGATAAAATATTATGGAGATAAGGCTGTGGCATTACTTACATCTTGTTAAGTCTGAGTAAAAAAATTTATTTCTAATCTACAATGTATATAAAAAGAAGATTAATATTGTAAAAGAAATAATGCATGAATTTCGTTATAAAAAAAAGTGAATATTAACAACAGTTAGTTGCACCCAGCGCCATCTGCTGACACTTTTTATTATAAAGACTTGGGGACACTACTGATTCATTAAATTGAACAGCCATTGCCTCGAAAAACAATTATTTTATGCAAATTAGTTACAATTGTAAAAGTTGAAACAAATTGCTAATCTACACCTTTCTTCGTGTACAACTACAAGATCTCCGTAAAATTATTTCTTCCCTTCAAAATAAATGTTAAACTTCATCACAGTATTTTTTCATTATTTCAAGCTGGCCGCCGCATGTAAGCAAATATCACTTAAAAAACTTACTTAATTTCATGTAAAAAAAACTGTGTTTAATTCTTGTTAAATAAATTTCAAAATGCTAAACTTTAGTAGTTTCTGCACGGAGAAAAAAATTCTGGTAGAATTACCGTAATGTATGAAAAAGACATCTCTGGTAAAATAAAAGAAATCATAATTCTTGTAATAAATTCAAAATATACGGAATTTAAGTTATTAATTTTGGAAATTTTGTGTTCATGTGAAATTTTATCGGAAATTCATTACCACACCATTTAATAACAATTGAAAAAACTGAAAAGTAAATTTAACCAAATAGTCTTCATAAAATTTTCCAGATGAATAGCTCTAAAGTATCATGATAAAATTAGTAAATTTTACCACAATTGCAAAATAACACATATTGTACAAAACAATATTTAATTGTTAATTTTTCCAAAATCGTTACCAAAGCACCTCGATAAAAATTATCATGCTTTTTAATGTTCCCATAGAACCAGAAGCACGGTAAATTTTACCAGATTCTGGGAGTTTTTACGATTCTTTTTCTCTCAGTTCAATACAGAGATAAGTCGATTAATTTATTTCGTTAAATTATTCAGTTTTAGACTTACTTTCTCAACGAAAACACAAATTTAGTGGATAATGTATTATTTCTTCTAGGTAAGGGTGATATCTTCGGGGAAAATGCTTGCAGCTACAACACTGTTGGCAAGTCCAGCTGCAACGTCCGTGCCTTGACGTACTGTGATTTGCACAAGATTAATCGCGAAGACTTACTGGACGTGCTCGACATGTATCCAGAATTTTGGGAGTCTTTCTCTACTAACTTAGAAATTACTTTCAACCTTAGAGATGTAAGTTACATTGTTAACATTTGCTTGATGCATACATGAGGTTACTTTATTGAAAAAAATATCAAGCTTAATATTATACTTTAAGGTTCAATTTATTGTATTTGTTTGCTTGATATGTCTGTAAAGATTACTGGTAGTATTTTAAAAAATATCTGGAAATAATGTAATGCTACTTTTTGAAGTGCAAGTAACTAATTAAATCTTTAAATAAAATTTTCAGTACTTATTAAATCAAATATTAAGTTTATTTGAAGATTGTGCTGAAATAAATCTCAATTGTCTTTTTTTCAGACTGACCAAGCAGGTGTTGATCCCGAGCTTTTTAGGCATAAACAAGTGTACAAAGAACCAGACTCTGTAGATGACGGTACGTGGTTGTTTATTCTCACGAAGAAGTGTTCCAAGCCATTAATACCTATTTTCATCGTCTTCGTCAAAAATAAACTATTAATAGCTGGCGAAATTACGGATAGCATTATAGTACTAAAATGAGAGAAAAATAAAAAGGTTGTGATAATCACAGACGGATGAGCATCAAAATCGATCCCAGAAGTAAAATTTAAATCATCAAACTCAGTCAACCAGCTGGAGTGAAGCTGAAATATATTTCTAACAATTATTATATCAAAGAGAAATTATCTTCTCTTCATTTTTATAAAACAATTCTTTCATTTTTTTTATTGTCATTTACTTTGTTACTGATTCATCAGGTTTTAATAGAATTCTTAATTTTAGTCGTTTAATAATAATTCTCAGCTTCTAATGAAGAGATATTAAGATATAATATTTATGACTTCGTAACATCATCACGTAATATTACAGGTTGAAAGTTTGGCAATTGAAAAGATATGGTGCGAATATTTCAGACTGAATTTTATCTCTCTAGAACTAGATCACGAAAATTGTTAACCCATATTGTTAGGTAACATGTTGACAATTTGGCAATAATACTAGTTTATTTCATTTAAATATTCTTGACTACACTGTAAAAATTTTTTGATTAATTTACGGAAAAGAATACTTTACGGTAAGAACATTTTGAGTGCAGCATTCGAATAAAATCCTTTTTACTGTCAAATCCATCTTTACCGTAAAATTTTAGAACGTAATTGTTACAGTAACATTTACTGTGAAATCACTGAATTAAGGCAATTAAATGAATATTACTGTAAAAATTAATTAAAGCCGATTTTTTGTTCCATAAAAATTATCCGTAATATAGATAATTTTACAGAGAAGAAAATTGAGAGATTTTGCAGAAGGTTATGGCTCCCCTTAACTCTAAGGTTAATGCTATTTGGACTTCACAGCGCATGAGCGAAAATTCCTTTCCAAATTATCGTGTCTCTAAGTGGTAGAAAATAAAGTTGCAATTTACGTAAGTACGGTTAACGTAGAGTTACAGTTAACGTAAGACAAACGGCATTTAAAAGCCAGTTAGCAAAATTCAAGGGCTACAAGTACCGAACTACTGTGGTCGTAGTTCTGGTCAACAGATTTTTATGGATATCCAAGGTTAGAACTTCGACTTTTTTTGAAGCTGACAGACATTTAAAACTTTGATGCTTTAAGGTAGAACTGGACACCGTTATTCAGTTTAATAAAATTAAGTATAAACCTGATAACAGAAGCCCTCTAGCATGGCAGCGAGAGCTGCAGATTATCACAGAATCAGCAGATTATTGTCATCTAAGTTTTCTCTCAATTTTTAAAAAGCAAACAAACAAATAAGGGGGGAAATTGCTGATATGCCCATTTTGAAAACATTTCGAAACTTGTTTCTAATAAAAAGGAAAAAGCTAAATTTTGAGAGCACCACCAAGAACAAAAAGTAAAGAATTGTTTTTCTTTACTTGATTGCGGACTTAACTGTATAGGGACTTATTCCATTTTTTTTAAAAATATCATTGCATAAAATTGCCCTTAAATTTTAAAAAAAAACATTATGCATAATTTTAAAAGTTCTTATATTTTCAAATTTTGTTACACATATGTTGGATTAAGCTGAATTTTTACAATGATAATCTCTGTCTGATGTGTTAAGGTCGCAGTTAAATTTGGATTTATGAAAATAGTGCTGCAGAAGCACTCCGTAAATTTGGATAGAATTTAACAAGTGGAAAATTTAATGACTGCTGATATTATTTCTTCTCAGTAGAATTTATCATATCGAATTGTAGTACTATAGGATTTTTTTTTCCATTGACGATTTCATTTTTGTTCTAAGGCGATGGAGGGAGTCGAACCAATTCTCTCCTGACACCGATATTACCTCCAGAGGAGGCTCGTACAACAGCTTACCAATATCCAAGAGCAAGACGAAGAAGACGAAGACCCAGGCCTCCTTCCAGTGACGAAGGGACCGGGTTCAGTGACGAAGATGACAGACGGTATAGTGGTATGGGCATTCTCGAATTCTCACCATCTAAGGCGGGTCAAGATGTCACACCGGTGAACCTCGATTTTGGACAAAGGCAGAGGTCGGGAACACTAAATTCAATCACAGGTAAGCATGTATGGGAAAAATTATCCAAAACATCACAGATGTAGACATTAAGATATTGTTCATGGTTTGAATATTTTGCTGATCAGAGACGTGGTACCAATACATAATATTTTTGTAATTTCATGTTATTCGAAATTATAGGACTCTTCAAAGAGTTGATTTCTTTTTTCGTACCATGGAGTCTTCGTTTTGTAATGATCGTAACAATTCTTATTGTGCTAATAAAGCAAATTACAGACGAGAAAATGATTTTGTACCACAGAATCTGCAGGTTCTAATCATCGACACATTTCTTATTGTGCTAATGAAACAAATTACAGACGTCAAAATGATTTTGTACCATTGAATCTGCAGGTTCTAATCATCGCCACATTTCTTATTGTGCTAATGAAACAAATTACAGACATGTAAATGATTTTGTACCAAGGAATCTGCAGGTTCTAATCATCGCCACGTTTCTTATTGTGCTAAGTAAAACGAATTACAGATGTAAAAATAATTTTGTGTCCCAGAATCTGCAGGCTCTAATCATCGTTACATTTATTGTGTAAGTAAAGTTTATTACAGAAGTTGAATATTTTTTAGTTCTTATTTTGAAAATTAATTATTAACTAAATTATTTTCAACTTTAAATTTATCTAAATCCTACAGATTGTATTTGCATTATTGGTTTAATTTACTAGAATTTCAAAAGTTACGTTTGTATTTTTTAAATAGTTCTTTACCAAAAAAATAAAGAATGTAATATTTTACTAAATATAATAATGTCTTTTTTCTGTTTTTTTTTAAATGAAAGTTTTACCAATAGAAATTTAGATTGGGTTTCAAATTCAAAACTACTTTCAACCAAACCAAATCTTTACTACATAAGTGACATTTATAGCAGTCGACTTTACCATAGCAGTGGCACTTATAGAATTCGACTTCACTACAGAAGTGGCATTTGTAAAAGTCGATTTAACAATAAAAGGGACATCTTTTGAAGTGAAATCAATAAAAATCAATTTCAAGATTAAGAAATGACTATGTCGAAATCGACTCCACTATAGAAATATTCTTACAAAAAAAAAAGTAACCAACTCAACTTAGTTTGGCTAAGCTCAGTTTAGTTACCTCAACAGTAACTGAATGCAACATATGCTTTATTTTCCATTTATGGACATTAACTAGCATTAATACTTTAAAAACCAGTTCCTTCATAATAGTTATCTTTAAATTAATACATAACTTTCATTCCAAAGGCAACTTAATCTTTTAAATTTTTTTGCCTTATTTTGAATTATGATTTCTTAAATTATGAATTTTCAAAAAAAAATAATTACATACATGTTATTAAATATAAGATTTTTTGTAAATCTCAGTGCTTTTGGAACACTTTTATTTCAATTTCTTTTTCAAAACATAAACTTTCATACTGAAGCGAAGAAAAAAAACTACTATCTGCCTTACTCATGGCACACTATTGGTAATACAATGTTTTTGACAAAAAATAACTTATTCGAAAGGGGTGTAAGAATATATAAAATGCATATACTATGTAATAATAAATCAGTTGTGTAACTGATATGAGATGGAGTTGGATGACTGTATTGATGATGTTCGTTTCTCAGGACTGCTACGTGAGCTGAAACGGAGTCTCACGGACACCCGAGTTCAGAAGAGCGAAGTTGGTAGGTTACAAACTCAGTTCCATCTCAATGTGTTTGGGATGTGCTGCTGCCAGTCGCATGATGTCGCTATTATCGCATGCCTTCTTATAACTCGTTTTAGTAAAATGCTCTATGTCCGCTTGTCGTCAATTTGGTTGCTGCTCTATTATTTTCATTTTATTATCTCTGTACTATTTGTCAATGTAAATAGACTAACATGCTATAATTGTGGAATGAATGCACTTGGTCGTGTACTAGAAACTTAGAGGTCGTGGCTAATCAAACCACAGATGCGATTGTCCAAAAAAGTTGTCCTGGAGTATAGAGTGAGTTTGCACATTTATTCAGCATAACGTGCTTATGTTCTGCGCAAGATCTGTATAGAGAGCTTGCTTAGAACCGGGATTATAGCAGCGCTGTGCAGAACATACGAAAGTAAACCATGCGTGATGCTATGTTAAAGTGCTAGTTTCTTTTAATCGAAGACTTAAGATTTTTAACTCAATGTAATAGATTTTAACAGCCTAGGAAAGTAGCTACTAGTTTTGGAGAATACAATGGCAAGCGCTACCGTGGCGTAATTAGGTTGTACGGGAAGCAAATATTATGATTTAATGTTGATAGTTTTGAGTTGTGGCTCACTATGTGATACAATGGTTATGGCATGATTGAAGTGTCGCATCGGTGGAGGGATTAGCCACTTCTGTAATTAGATTAAGGACTCTGTGGTTTTAAACAGTATGCTTAAGTTATAATAATAAAATTAAAAATGCTACTGTTTACTAATGTTTTATTAACCAAACACATGTTTCATCTCATGTTCATTGATAATAAATTTTATAATTGAAACAGAATATATTTTTTTTTATAAAATGCATTATTGCACAAAATTTTAGCTCAAACAAGAAACGGAAAGAAAAAATTATGATATAGTGAAAATTGCAGAAAACAATCGTGGTAATATTTATCGATGCCAAAATAATTAATATTCCAGCCATACTTCGGTTACAAATTTTTATCTTTTTTAACATAAACTGTCGAAATTCTGCAAATTCTTGATTATTATTTTAGATTTCCAAACGGATTAGGAAACATAACTTCTTTAAAAAACATTTCCTTCAAATTTTTATCAAGTAATATGCTCTAGCTATGGAATGCGAATTTATAACAAAATTAATAAGTAAGAATCATTACTAGGGTAAATATTTAAGATTTATGCATCACCACCAATGATTCTTCTAATTTAATCAATTAGACATTCAAATCTAAAACATTTTACAATGTCCTCTAAGACATTTTAATATGACTTAGATAACAATTGAATGATAATTAATAATTTAATGATAATGAATAATTTAATGATGATGAATAATTAAATGATAATGAATAATTTAATGATGATGAAGGATAAACTTCTTAGATGTTAGCCGGAATTGTTAAGCATAACTAGACCTGCAGTTTTCCAAAAGAAAAATTAAACAATGAACCAGAAATTGCTTTGGGCACTTCTAAAGTTAAAGATTATTGTTATATTTAAATAATTGTTGCACGCTAGTCCGTCTACTGCAACAAAGCTCAGTCTCTTTTTAAGTTTCTTCCTGGAAAAAAATGACTTGACCAAGTTTAAAAACAAAAAGTTATAGTTTAAATAATTTCTGCAGAATTTGTATCAGTGAAAAGAGAATATTAATATTCCTGCATCATGTACCTAGAAATTAACTTACTAATTAATATTTTAGCAGAAATAAAGATAATGCATGGTAGTTGTAATTAAAGTGACCCTATTTAGACCTCTCCAGAACCCGTTATGCCATTCGGATTTTTATTAAACTTAGTATATACGTTATATAAGCTATGGAAAAAAGATCTCTGCAATAAAAAATAATTCAAATTAAAAATTTTGTACGCAAATTACTCAAATCTATAAAGAGACTTGTATTTAGAGTCAGAAAATTATTCTATCGGCCTTTGTCATCGTTAATCATGCCCTTACAAGTGAAAGATCGAACTTTAATGGTAAAACTGCCTTATCAGAACAGCAACAATCACTTACTAAATATCGTCATTTAAAGGAATTGTAAAAGGATCTCACGTCTAGAAATTGTTTGAAAAAGATGATTATGAAATTTAAAGAAACTGGAGACTTGGATGTGGAACCAGAAAAAGAACGAAAACGTTTGTAAATGGAACTGCCGAAGAAGTCGCTGTTGCTGTGGTTAAAGGAGCCTCCATTTCAAGCTATTCTTCAGTAACTACTCGATTGATGTCACGTGAGTGGTGGATTCCATGGTTGTGAAAAAAATTCTACGATCATTTTAATTGGTATCCGTATAAGCTCCACGTGGTAAAAATGCTGCAACCTTCAGACCACCAAACTTGCTCTGAATTAGCCTGCCGATTTCAGGTGAGAATGGAATTTAATGACGCGCGACCCTGGCAAATTCAATGCTCAGATGAGGCACACTTTTCTTTAGATGGAGCTGTGAATAATCAAAACTATCAGAAATGAGTTGCTCCATCTCCTAATATCCTGCACCAACAGCCACTGCATTCTGATTACGTGACTTCGTTGTGTGAATTTGGGGGTGATTTTATCCAATAACCTTTTTCCTTAAAACTTTCACTCCTCAAAGTTCTAAAGAATGCTCTGATACGAGTGTACGGCAAAATTCACTCCTTTAAGAACAGGTCATTTCAGCTTTTCAGGATCGGCAAAGTTTGCAGACCGCTGTCTTCATGCAAACCCACATTGAGTGACAAGTCAGAGAACTGCTTGTCGTAACTTTTGCGAGGCCGAATACCTGGCCGTCTCTTTCACCCGACTTAAATCCATGCAATTTCTGGTAGGGGTGATTGCTACAAGTTGGTGTTTATGGATTAGGAAATAGGACTTTATTTGACTATAAAGAAAGCATTGCAGGATATATTGCTGAAATCTCTCAAACACTACCACAGAATAATAAGGCGATTTCAACACGCAACTGATGTCACTGCAGCACACGTTGAGTACTTTCTGCAACTGAATAAACTTCAATGATACTGGCAGATTTTTTTTTGTTCTTCTTTAGCCACAATTACCTCCGATGATCAAAATTTGAGCTATTTTTAATTGCAGAAATCTTTTCTCCATGATCCATATAATGTATATATCAAGTATAATCAAAATTCAATAAATATAATGGGTTCTAGAGGGTCATAACCACCTTGTACTTTGAATGTACTGCGTTTTCATGCAACAACGTGCAATCAAATTATACAATAGTGTTCTTAAATCTTTCTCTCTCTCTAAAAAAACACTCAAACAAACATTTGAAAACTATAATTTACTTTTTTTACAAATCATTATTATTTTTATTATCATTATTATTTGGTTTTTTTACATGAAGCTAAATACAGGTATAATGATTGCTCGACATAAAATGTGTAAAAAAAATAATACCAAAAAAATTGTGCAATATAAAATATGCCAAGAAGCAATTAGGCCCCATAAAATGTGAAATAAACGTAGCATATCAGACAAGTATATTTTCCTTCTTAAATAATTAAGTTAAATATAATTTAACTTTAACACTTGCAAAAAAAAAAAACATTTTAATAAATTAAAACAATGTTTTGATTCAGAAACGTAACTACACGAGAAACAGTAATGCGAGAATACCAACATCCTACCTGAAATACTGTTCCATACAAAATGATCCATTAACTTTTCTTCTTTGTAGGAGGAGCAATAACCACAATGACCAATCTGGCCAAAGGTCCCATCTCTTCTGTAGTATCTCCACAATCACAAGAGCATCACATCTCTCGGCCACCTAGCCTTACAATGCCCAAGACAGACACTCAAACCGAACCAATCGATTCGAAAGAAAAAACACCTCTTCTAGATGCTGAAGAACCAAGTACGAAACTTTTCTTGACTTTGGCATACATAAATATCCATATTATTTTAAATGTTTTCTACATCTTGCAATAGCAACATAAAATTTATCTAAAGGCACATGTAGCATCATATACTCACTCTATCAAAATCCCGAAACATTTGTACTATTTCGAAAATCAATTAAAAAGTGATAGGCTACAAGATTTATAGAGGGTTCAAGATTTTTATTTAAACTTTGAATTTTTCTCAGTGTCTGAAGTATTAATGGAACAAAACCATCCTGCTCATACAATAATCTATTTAAACGAGAAAGTTCTGTTGAAATTAGTAAAATGTGTATTTTTTAGTTATTCTGCTCAAAGAAGCAAGCATTTTTTATAAATATTTCTGTTGAAACAAATAAAATTTCTGATTGTTACACTGAGCGAAAATTACTCCTGTCGTTTTAAAACAATACGCGACACTTCGAAGCAAAATCAAGATTTATGCGAATTATTGTTTGGTATACTCAGACTTCTTTTTAACAATCTTTATCTCGGTATAAGCATACATATAAGATATTTAGAAATATTCTGCGATCTATTTCAATTTAATAAATAACCCAAAGAAACTGAAGCGGTAATATATTACTTGATAAAAAAAAAACTTCATTCGCTTCGAAAATATTCAAATTTTAAAAAAAAAACCAGTCGACAAACTTCAAGCGCTACAAAAACAGGCCCCCATTTTCAAGACTTCTCAGTCGTAAAAGAGTAATGAAAAAAGCGATTTGAAAATAAATCGTCAAGTTGCCAATAAAAATGAAAAAATAAAGGTTAGAAATAGTGCCTTAATCAATAATTGAATATGTTCGTTAGACAATATTTGCAATGTGTTTATGTTTGTTAGACAATGTTTCTTTTTTGCATATTAAACATTTAGTCTAAATCAGAAATACGATGTCCCCCACTTCAACTTTTTTACTTAAAGCTTATAACATATAGGATTATTATTAGAATCAATTAAATTTATATTAAACGTGAGACATAATCAAACAAGATTTTTTTTATCTACACAATAAGCAAGCAAAAAATTAAATAAGGATTTCCTATTTAGTTGCGTACCATCACTTAAAATATCTTTTGAGAACAGAATATCTGACGATCATACTCTCGTACACAGAATACAAAATAATTTTGAAAAAACACAACATATGACCTAAGCCTAAAGATTATTGTGTTACAGATAACCGCTATTGAATTCGCCAGTTCGTTCAAATACAACGGTACTTAGCGTAATATTTCGAAAAACATTATGAATTTAAACTCTTTTTTCTACTATCTTAAGTGCACTATTGATTGATTATTTATTTTTTCCAAAACAGCGTCCCAAGCAGCCTCACTAGATTCGACCCCAGGATCTATCAGTAATGTTCTTTGTCCACAAACAATATTTCAGTCATCTCAGCAACATATTTCATCCAGCTATAGAAGTAAAATAGATAATGAATTAGAAGCCAGACGTCCCTGTTCTGGACCTGGTCGCCTGGGCACCATGGCTGGAGGTACGTCCAGCAGTGGTGTCCGGTCCAGTTCCAGCGTCACAATACCTCTGACCGGCAGTTCAATAAACGGACAAAGTCCGGGAGATGACCTCACATCACCTCACCACCAGCCTTTCCCTCCTACTAGCTCGAGACCTAATACTCAGTTGTTAGAGAATAAGCTGGACAACCTTAGCAGGTGAGAAAAACAATGGTGTATTAAAAAAAAGACTTCGTTTTGAATGTAAATATCATGTCTAAAGCAGAAAACATAGTGAACAAAGCACAAAGTACAAAATTTTACATACTATAGTTTCAGCTCAATAAGCGAGAACCTTCCGCAATGTTTAACTTCAAGTGAAGATAAAGAAGTCCTTTCTACACTTCTCTAGAAAAAGAAGAAAGTACTTCTCTAGAAAGTTCATAAATTGGCATTCTATAGTTTCAGTTCTGTTAACAAGAAGCTTAATAAACGAAAACCTTCCTTAATGTTTAACTTCAAGTGAAGATAAAGAAGTCTTTTCTACCTTCACTTCTCTAGAAAAAGAAGAAAGTACTTAATAATAATAAGAAGAAAGTACTTCGCTAGAAAGTTCATAAATTGGCATTTTATAGTTTCAGTTCTGTTAACAAGAACCTTCCTCAATGTGTAAACGTCAAAGATAAGGGAGTCTCTTCTCTGCCTTATTTTGACGTTTAGACACCGAGAAAGGTTCTTGTTTATAGAATTGAAACTATAAGATGTCAATTTATGCATTTTCATTTGTGCTTTATTCAAATTATTTTTTGCTTTAGTCTAGCACTAAGTATTACCCTTTCCTTTGTTAAATGTTATGTCGTTTAAAACTTGGGGGAAAAGGAATATGGTGTGTAAAAATTTCAAAATAATTTTTTAACAGAAACTTGATGTAGTAATGCAACAACTATAGCATGAAGAACAGGCTAATGTTAGTACAAGATGCAGCAGCAAATTATGCGAATTTAAAATTATTATTAAAAATAAACAATCACCTATAACTACTTTAAATACACGAGAACACACAGTTATCATAAAAGCGCGCGTTTAGTCTTCTAACAGAAAAATAACCAAAAAAACAATTTTCATTTTTCAAAATAACATTTCGGAAAATGAACTTAGAAATTTGGTACCAATAATGGAACTTGGTACCAATAATGGAAAATGAACTTGGAAATGAATTTGCCATTCCTCCGCACGCATTCGGCAAATCTTCAACTATCATCACTCATTTCTGTTGCGTATTGTCCATAGGAACTGTAGCCATTTTATGACATGCCTTTATAGTATAAGCATCCACTGATCCATTGATGAAAAAAGTACTTTAAAGTTATCTATAATACGCAGGAACATCGTTCTCTTCCCTAACTAAACCAAAACAAATGCTGTGACCAAATCATTCGTTCAAATGCTTGTACGAAACATTAAAGTATAATTTTAAACAGTTGTCTGGTATTCATTAAAATCTAGTTTCTTAAAATTGATTAAATGCCGCTTAAATCCACTAACTTTCACAAATTCACTAAAAGGAGATTTTACATGGCTGTTCTGTTATGCTCTTAAATTTCAATGATACCCGATACAAATTTTGCAAGAAAGAGTAAATTTAACAAGACATTTACTTAGAATACACGATATTTCTAAAATTTGGAACATTTTGATTTGTTTTATGGCTGTTGTATTACTTTCTTGTTCTTATAAGAATTGGAGAAAAAAAATACAGTTAAAAAATTTTACCAGTAATCACCATATTGATGATGATTGTGCTTATTCTATTAATACATACTATAATCTTGATATCTTGAAATTATACCTAGACTGTAATCACTGCTCCTTAAACCTTTTTGATTCCAGTTTGACCTTAAAAATATAAAAATAAACATAAAATTAGAAACAATGAAAAAATCAACATCAGATCCCAAATTTCTTTCGTCGCGTACAAACACTCAAAATCTTAGCTTTATGTCTTAATTTGTGGGCATTCTTGCCAATTTATAGGATTAAATTCAGAATCTTTGAGAAAAATTTTACAGCTTTCATTAACACTGCTTTTAATTTACGACAAAATATTCAATTGCCAATAACTACTTACTATTTTGTTTAATCTTTTTACTTCTAAACTGCAAAATGTTGTTTAGCTTGCGAACAGTTCATTGCTAATTTCTCGAGTTAAAAAGATTTTTTGCATAAATGTTAATTTTCGAGTATAACTTCGAATTTTCACTCGTGATATTTAATAAGCTTTAAAAAAAATGGAGTATCACATAGCTTTCAAAATGCATTTGAGGAAATAATTTAAGATTGAATACCAACTTTATTATCATATTTTGTTATCCCCAGTTTTCTCTCAACTTCAGAATTATTATATAAATTCTTGGGAAATTTCAAGGAAAGTATTTTTTAATGTAATGAATATTCAAACGAATTACGTTATGTAGTTATAATATATTTATAATTAAATCATGTTTATAATTTAATTTCATTATGATATTTATTACATAATAATTATATATTATATATAATACATAAATTATATATATAATACATAATAATATTTATAATTAAATTTTTCTCAACAAAAAAAAAATATTTAGAATATTATAATTACTTCTTTTCATTTCTGAACTGTTTCTTTAGGGCTTTTTACTTTTTCATGTAAATACTGATTCTTAAAACCACTTGATTTTGTTATATTGAGAACGTAATAACGTTTTAGCACAGTTTTCTAGTATTAGTGCTATTGAATAACGATCAACAATCGGTCATTTAAGTTTTGAAAAGCATAGTATGTAAATTAACTTAAACAGCTAATTTAACTACAAAAATTCTTTATAAGCCAACATTTAAAAAAAAAAAAAAACACATTTGCATTCGTTACTTTAAAATGTTTTCGCTTAATGCATCCTAATAATTGCATTTGCATTAATCAATTTTAATTTGTTAAAAATACGTCTTGGTGAGCATTTCTTGGTTACTTTTATGTTTAGAAACACAATTCATTTCAATTACTAAAGAAAAATTGCTCATTCATCTTGGTTATCACTAATGACAAATATATTAAATAAAGTCTACCATAAGTACTATTAAATTCGTTCTTTAAGAAATGTAGAGTCATATTTTATCTTTCTTTTTGAAGAAAATCTTTATCATCTTGAGAAGTTTGTTTCTCAAAAAATGTTACTTTTAAGGAAAATTGGAGAGGTAATTTTTTTCTCATTTTCCCGCATTACTTAAACAAACGAAGTGCAAATAAATAATTTTGAATAATTTTTTAGAAGCAAATTTTAGTAGTTACTGTATTTATTCAATTTTTGTCGAAATTAATTTGGTGTTTAATAATTTTAAGACTTTTACTTCAAACCTAAATTCTTTCAATACATCGAAGCAAAAATTTAAAACACTTTTAAAGTGCTACTTTGGGTTTTTTTTTCTTTTCAATTTTTTTTTTTTATTTATTTATTTATTTTNTTTTAAAGTGTTACTTTTTTTTTTTCAAATAAGAGATGCACATAACTTTTCTATAGATTGACAATATACTTTTTTAAGGAATGGTATAAAAGAAGCCTAACAAATAATTATAAATATTAAAGATTGGAAATGAAATTTGAGTAAAGTTTAATGAAGAAGAATTGATTGAGTTGTGTTTTTGTTTTTATTAGGCAAGTTCGAACGATCGAGACACGCCTGACGACAGACATTCAAACCATAATGCAGCTACTATCCCACATTGTTGCCCACTCGGGTGGCTCTCTATTGGGCAACACAATGACCACCGTCTCCAAGGACCTGGTCACCCTGTCCTCAGACCTGACCCCTGAAGACGGCCAACAGTCCTCCTCGTACAGACATCCCGGTGCTAAGTCTCGAGGTCGTCAGTACAGGAGGGCGGTCAGTCTGCAAGGTAGCCTTTCCCCCCTCACTCCCGACGGGGTCTCGCTCAGGTATATGTGCAGGAGTCTAGACTTACCAAGGTACGTACACTTCCACATCATACAAATACAAGATAATTGATACGGACATAACTATTGTACGCTTTGCATTATTTCCAATTTCATTAAACTTCGGCGTTACTTTTTCATCTCAAATTCGTAGCTTTATTCATTAATTCAACACGTTTGCAATTAGCACTTTCACTCAAATTATATACTTTTTGGAAATCGGAAGAGTTACAAATATGTCATATTTAAGAAATTTTGAAACCTTCTACTTTGTTTTTTATAACGTACTAAATACGGCCAGACACATTTGTCGGATTAGAATTTTTTTTATTTCAGTTCAAAGAGCTGTTTAGAATAAGCTTTCATTATCATTTAATTGATGAGTAGTTCCACCATTTCAAATAAAATAAATTATTTCAAAAATTATTGGGAAATAAAAACAAAAAGAATTAGACGTAGGCCAAAAGCAAAATTGAAAACAGTGAAACTATAAATCGTAAACATTTACAGCATTGAGGTTTTTCAACCCACCATCAACGAGGTCTTACCCACGCGCTATCGATGCAGATCACTACATTTCTTCCAATAATGGTTCAACTCATGTCAGTTTACGAATTCTATCGCTATTAAGGCATTTGTAAAAGATCCTTTGTTTCTTTGAACAACGCAGAGGCAAAAAATGTATATAAGGGAAGAAGGCTAGCTTCCATAGACATAATGGAAACCAATTCACCAATGTTTGGTGCGGTCCCTCTGTATGAAGGTAAAAACAACATGTAGGTGCACAGTAGCCGAGGAGGTTCTTGAAACAGGTTTGCAACCTTCCTCTTCTCCCAACCACTACTGGGGTTGGGAAGGAGAAGAAAAGTTTTCTATTTTTATTTATTTTTAGTAAGAACTAAGATTTTTTATCAAGCATTGGAACACTCGTCTTCGAAAATGAGCATTTGAAGCAAACTTACTCGCATTTGTGCTACACAGAGAGAAAGACAGTAGTCGAACCTCTATTTAACGAAGTTGCTGAATCCCAATAATAAGTTCGCTACAGGGAAAATTCGTTAAATGGAAAATCACCTTTTGAAATTCTTAAACAACGCAAAACAAGTTTTAACAATTGATACACTTTTATCTTGTAAACCAGTATCTATTATTTATTTTATAAATCTTAACCATAAAAGAAATCTGCATGGAAAGCAAGAATCGAGCTAAACATTATACAGTGTTACACTATCTTACACATTTTCAAATAAAAAAAAGCTAAAATTATAGTTTCTTGTATTATAAAAGTAATTTCAAACATATATTACCACATGTGTTCTTAAGTTTAATTGCTACTGATAAAATCCGTTAATTTTGACCGAGTTTTTCGTTTGAAATGTAAACAAAAAGGGAAAGGGATTTTACGGCTTTCTCTGAAAGTTAAGTGGCTTCAAAAATCAATTCGAAATCATTTCCCTCGTAAAATGCATTAACAAGTTTGAAATGTTCTGAAATATTTTGGAAAACAGGGAAAGTGGATCTCAAAAAGTTCGTTACATAGAGAATTCACTTCGCTATTTGGAATTTCTTTAACAAATAAATTTTCCAAATGCTCTTGGTTCCTCGAAAAAAATCGCGAAATAGAGAAATTCGCAAAATGGAAGCTCGTTAAATAAAGGTCCGATAGTATAACCTTCCCACGGCTAGTCCAACACCATGGGGGAAAAAAGATGGTTCTCAAACTCATTATTGATTTTTATTTTTACTCTTGTTTTCGACAAAATACTGTGTAACAAAGTAAAAATGTTAAAAAAAAAAGTAGAAATTGCTTAAATTCTGGTTATAAATAGTTTCACATATTATTTTATACGAATCACTCTCATAAACGTAAATTTTGTCTGTAGTTTAACATTTTGCAATAACAGCCTTAATTTCTGATTTGGTTGAATTTAACACAAAAAATACAATAAGTCTAAAGATCAGTTATTATTATAGTTCTATTTTCTTCTAAATGGCTTCGATTTTCAGGGTTCCCACGGTCCTTGAGAGTCCTTGAAAGTCCTTGAATTTTTTTGTGCTAAATTTAGGTCCTTGAAAGTGCTTGAAAAACGTCTTAGGTCCTTGAAAAACTTGATAGGTCCTTGAATTTGTCCAATACTGCCGGCAGCCCTTTTTTTAAAACACCCACGGATCTTTCTCGTTCTTTCTGTTTTGTTCCCGAGCTCTCTCACGTGGTTTTTAACGCCACTGTTTCTAACCGGACCTAGCGTTTTGGTGTCTGCCAAGCGCGCGGAGCACAGTAGACAATCAATGCGTTTGGGGCGAGACTCCACTTCATCTTCTGTCGCATATGCTTAGATCTTCTTTTTTCTTATCGAAACTGGAATACTCTTTTCGTAACAATATGTACAGTCCGCAAAAAAAAAAACGAATCACCCTGAATAACTTTCGTTCTAATGATCGGATTTTCACGAACTAAGTGTCAATCTTAATGGTTCCTGGGGGTGACCTCAAATATG